TTTAAAATTATTCTGCTCTTCGAACAACAGCAGGGAAAGCAAAGGAATTGCGTTGAATTGCTTCAAAGAGCACTGAGAAATAATAAACAAATCGCAGGGAGAACTTGTGCATGTTTATTTGCGGTCCTTCGAGGCGGAAGGGTGAAATTTTTACAAAAATACCAAAGAAGAACGCCATCAGAGCCATGATAATTGCAAAAACATTAAGAGAGAGAATCTGAAGTTTCGAATATATCGAAATTTACCAACAAATTTGCGTTTATTTACGGGGGAGTGCTTTTATCATGTAGAGATGGCAGTCATAGTTGTTATTCTATATTTAAAGATTTCCTTTTCGAATGGAACTCTGAAATACATTAATCTAAAAGCAAATAGTGCCTATAATCTTAGGTCATTCCCATTTTGAAAAACTTTTCATTTGTATTTGAAAAACCTCCATTATACCATCGACACTGCCATTAATATTCTGCCAGCTCTAATTTTCCGTTTATGGTCAACGATGTGTGTTTATACGCATGATTTTGGGGGAAATGCGAGGAGGAGCTGGTGGCGAAGCCTGCTTAGAACTGCACATTCGCCAGATACGAGATGGCTGACAGATACAAAATGCATAAGCTGCTCAAAGTTTAATCGGTTTATGTGACAGCTGAGAGAGGGATTTCCAGGGGGTGACACTCTACTAAATCACAAAGGATTTGCAAGCCATAAACTGCCATGGCCAAAGCGGAGAAACTGCAGACGGCAGACTGCAAATAAAACGCAGCATCAAGTGGCTGTCAATGCGTTTTGGTTAGTGCTCAAGATAAGATGCACTTCACATTCTCTAGTCCCGAAAGTTTCCTCGGGATTAGGCCCCGAAATTCCATGCTGAACGGGCCGAAAAACAAGAGGCGCAGAGCGAAGAAAACGCACCATGGGACAATTAGGCGATGCTGGGAAAACCATGGGAAATGGAAGTGGGGAAAACCCAGGGAAACGAACGAAACCCTTGTGTGGTTTGTGCGGCTTGATTAAGAAGTTTTCGGGTTATAAATGATACAAGCGGCGGCAAATTATTCAAACTAATTGGTTTAAACACTGCAGGGAATCCGCTTCTTAAAGCGCTTTAAGGAAAGTTGAGAACTAATACTTGAGGCAAGCCAAAGAATGTCTCGGACCTTGTTATGAAAAGAGCAAACAGAAAAGTTTTCGGGGGGCTTGGCCAAAAGGCAGGCAAAGGCAAAGTGTCAAATTGGTTTCCCTTCTTGTAATGAATGGGCTGCCTGGAACAGCTTAAAAGGAAATTTTAAATTAAAGAAAGTCTCTCTTAAAATGAAATTTAAACTACTCATAAATATTCAATTACCAATCACGAACTCTTCAAGCCGCTTTTCGGTTTTAATTACATATTCTGCAAACTTATTCAAAAAGCTGTAAGGAACGCTTCTGATTTAATTAGCCTCAAGGATTTCCGTTTAAAATATCAATCAATAATAAAAACAACAGCTCGTATTATGCAGTGTGAAATTGAACGCCAAAACGATTTTTTCAAGCTTCAGAATGAATCATAATTAAGCTGAACGAAGGAAAATCAAAAGTTAATCCTCTGAAAGCGGAAAAATGCTGCCGAGTTGCACAGAAGACCGTGGAAAGTGTCTTCATTAGCATACACTTAGCAATTTAAAAGTTTGAAAGTCACTAAATTAGCCGAGAGTCTTATTCAATGTTTCGTGAATATTCCCGAAATATGCAAATTATCCACACTTCATGCCGATGACTCCCATCTAATTAAAAACTTTGCCAGGAAAGGCGACTGGCAAATTGCCTCGAATTGGCAATCGCTGCTGAAAGGTCATGGCACTCAGCACTCAACTCGATGACTTTCGGAGGGTCCAAAACATTGTTTCATTGTTTTCGGATCTCGGCTTTCAGGTCAATCCCTTTTGTTTTTCGGGCCAGCCCTTTGGAAAGATAAATCTTAATGTCTATCTAATCAATAAATAATTGGCATGTCCTGTTGATGCAGCCTCACAAAATATCCATTTCACTGTAATCGAAATCCATAGAAAAATCTGAGATAAGCCAATTGTAAACAGCCGGGGAAAGGGTCTCCTACACAACCTCATCTCCGGAAAAACAAAAACGAAAAACAAAATACAAAATAAAACCCGAAATTGTTTGAAACAATTTTTGAGGAGAATCAGCAGGACGGAATGAAATGAAATACTTTCGATTGACATATACGAATTTTGTTGTGATGGAATCCATTGTTTACAGGACTCGAAATGAACTTGTTATTCGAGTGGAGGGAAAAACAAAGGGAAAACAAAAATAATGCATTTGTCTGCGGGCGGGCGGTGTGGAAAATTTTGTGCGCAGCTCAGCAGGAAAAGGGGACGAAACAGGACGAGTTCTGTCCTGTCACGACTCCTTCGGCACAAATTTAATATTGTAAATGGAAATGGAATGCTCACTCTGAAAAAATGATGATTTACGATTTAAAAAGTTTAGAAAACTTTAGGGGAAGGTACATATTTGAAATATTTTCACCAACTTTTGTCACTATAATAATTGATAAAATATTTGTGTTAAATCGTATCGTGGCAGATAAAGTTTATTGGTTAAGCCATCTTAGTTTTGGAGTAAATAAGTAGAAGCTATAAAATAAAGTGACATATCATATATATATAGAGATACCTTGATTTATATCTCTGCCAAAAGAAGTTAGAAAGCTTTTTAAGTCCGAGTGTAAAACGAGAACGAGTGGAAAATTCGCGTGAAGTGTCCTGGCACTTAACCGTTCAATTGATTTTCGACAAACACCTCACCTTTCGCTTGTTTTCCCAGCTGACGGTTAGTGTCAACATTCAACATCAACATTGGCATGCCAATAGCCCAATGCGAATCGCGAAATCAAACTATGCAAATGAAGGCTGGCTGGGTGGCAGTGGCTGGGTCGTGACCCGCGAATTGCTTTAATCAAAACCGAAAAGGTGGCCTGTCACTAAATGGAATAAATGTAAATTTCATAAATGAAGTGAACACACACATCCATTCAGTTGGCGTGGCTGTGGCATCAATATATCATCAATATTAAAATGCAATTACAGGCTGCCGCCTGCCAGCTGCCTGCTGGGTAATCACATAAAAAATTAACCAAGAATTGCGCTAAACGCTGGGCTCGACCCGCTGGATACCTTGATTTTCCGCCATTCATGGCCGCAATTTCACCGTCAGTTTTTGCCGCAGTTTCCCCCCTAGAGAACTCGCCTGAAAGTATGCCACGGAAAACTCAAGCAACTCCGACGGCTTTTTCATCGCCACTTCTGGCGGCCAAAAGTTTTCCTCGCCATTTATTCGGTATCAGCGGTTCTAGCTGGGTTTTCGCGTAATTGTCAGGTTGTCACTCTTCGTGTTGGGTAAACTTTGATGTTAACTCTCTTTGGGTGTTTTCGTGGAAATGCTGGGAAATCCCTGGCTTTTCAACGATTTTTGGTTCCCATTGTTGACCAAAATTGGAAAACTGTGGGCACTAAAGGCATGCGGCTCCCACCGCCTGATCGAAAAATAATAAATACAATCGCCATTGTTTTCCAAATATTTTCGCAATTACTAACAATCGAACAAATTTGAATGCACTTGAAAATATATTTTGCCCTATTATTAATTTAAGCCTCCTCAAAAAAGCTTCTGTAAATTATTGCTCTTTTTAGTTTCATAACATATTTCCAGAATAATCTTAAAAGTTATGCTGCCACTTTAATGAATAAATAAAACTGTACCAAAGTTGTTATGATTGCAGTCTGAAACATTGTGAATGCATTCGACTGTTAAAGTTTGGATTAGTTGCTGAAGAAAGTTTAGTTTAAACACCTGCCGACTAACTTTACGTTCCACATGGCCTATAGAAACGACTTGAGCTTGTGGCTGAACTTTAAATCCAACATATTTTATAGGAATAATCTAAAAATATCTTGTTCTGCTAAAAATGCGAATAAATTAGGTGAGGATGAAAGGTTTCTTTTAACGAAAGCCACCTCCTTCTATCGCCCAATATCTCAATATCGAATCAGGCTAATCCGTACACGACCTGTTTCACATTTCCGCTTGATCAACCGGTAAACCAGAGCCCACCGCAATTATTCAGATACCTCTTAACTAACCGCATCGAGTTACAATTGCCATTGCCAGAAACCATTACAATCGATTCAATATTTGTCAGGGAAATGTCATTAATATATAACGAGTGCGCTGCAGAAGTGTCCAATTTCCAGGGAGGGGACTCTGATTGCCTGGCTAATAATAAAGATTCAAAAAATAAAAGCCCGGCTCACAGTTAATCTAGTTGGAGACCAGCAGCCACTAGCACTTTACTCTTTTCTCGCTTCGTTTCGCCACTCCAGCCATATCTTCACCCCTTGAGCCACCTTTCTCGTATTTCCCCGACGACACGTTAAAAAATCTTACAGTTCCATATATGAAAAATTCTCTAGGAAAAAAATCTTAAATGAATGAACAATAGGTAAGTTTCAAAAAGGGGAAACACATTCAGGTTTTCTGTTGTTCAAGTTATCTAATTATCTAGCTTTATAATGCCTTAAGTTTTTACGATTCCAGACACTACTATTGGCTGAAAGCCAAGTATTACAGCTTAAATGGCTAATTTGACACCTTGCTGATCAAATTACTGGCTTTGGCGAGCTGGATGCCTGGCAAAGTGATGCCAAATTTTTGGTGATATTTTTCTCGGTGCAAACCTCTCACTAGAGCTTATGTATAATGCATGGCATCTCTCGACTCTTGGCTTGTAAACGTAGCCAGGCAACGGCCAACAACTTTGACTGGTCTTAATCGCTGGCAAAGGAAAACCAGGGGACAGGCGACCGACGACGGGGGGTCGTGGAAACTGTCAGCGTCATTGCTATTGATGTCCGTCCTCGCACTTGGCTTTTAATATTCAAAATAGAAAAATACGAAAAAATAGGATAAATACAAAAATGCCAAAGGCACCCAAAACCAACCTAAAATCGCCGAATGCACAGAAACAACATTGTGCTGGAAAATGCCGCTGTCGCTGACAGTTGACGCCAGGAATTTATATTTATATTTTCACGGTTGGCCTTTCTTGGCTGGTTTTTATTTATTACTTGTATTGCCTTGTTTCCTTTTTTTGCTGTATTATTTTTGACAATTTTTCGGAGGAAAACTGTCGGCACTGGAGGCACTGAGACACTGGGAAAATGCGGAGATGCGATGCGGACAAAGAAAAGACCGACGCGAGCGGGCGAGAAAAGCGGGAGAGACTGGCTTGTCGGGCAGTCGAAATTCAACTGAATCCGCTGTCAGGCGGCCAAAGAGACCGGACCGGCAGAGCCACCCGCGCCTCCACCACCATCTGCAACACCACCACCACCCTCAGCCACCACTCTCTCTTGGTTTGATTCCAAGAGACACAGCTTTCTTCGGCGGAACCATAGCCATGCAAAATAGCCAAATAGGCGAGCGTTTCGAGCATTGGGCCTGAAGAGCGCTCGTTTCTCTGAGGAATTCCCCGAAAGAGAAAGAGTGAGAGGAACAGGGAGAGAGTGGCGCGAAGAGAGAGCTTTTTCCAGAGACCCCATCTCCCACAAAAGGAAAAGGAAAACCCCACCGAAACTGGAAAACTCTGCAAATTGTCGGCAAAAATATATAGTAACCGAGTTTTTCCAGCACAACAAAAAAGCTCTCAATGATTACAACTTACACTAGAGAGAGACGGCTAGAGCGGAGCGGGAAAGGGACAGGTGACACTATGATAGAGTGTGGAGGGGGTATCATTTTTGACTTGTAATTGAAATTTCATGGATTATTAGTTCACCCACACAGACCCAGACCCAGGATAGTAAAAAATTGTTTGAGAGAAAATCTGTGCTCTTCCGCCATGAAACCACCACCCATCCCGATTTTAGCCACCCAAAACCCCTCTTTCATAACCAACTGTTGATTGGGGCCAATCCAAAATGGCTTTGGTTCTTTGGTTAGGGATGAGGGGATTCCCCGCTTAGGCATTGGAATTTTTGCTCTTTTTCACTAAGCAGGGGTGCTGGCCCAACTCCCACTTTAACCCCTTCGACGCGACCCCTTGTTAAAATCCACCCAAAAGTCTCTGGTTAATGAAGCGCTTTATTGGGCCATCGCCAAGGGCCGAATGAGAGGTGAACGGAGGCCAAAACCCGATTTACACTTGGTTGGCTGACACTCCTCGCCGCTTAATACGGCTCTTTTATGCCGAGTGCTGAAGGTCAGGCCCTCGGGGCCTTTGTTGAGTGTCTGAGCTGTTATTGCAAGACCAAATTTTGGTAATGAAATCGAAACAAATGCCGAAATTTGCCACTTTATTGGTTCCCAGGGCGGCATAGCAAATTATTTTGAAAGTTTCAAGCGAACTACAAAGTTGAAGTAAAAATGTTTTACAAATTGCAGGTTGGGAATCGTAGGCTTACAGCTCTTAAGTAGTTTCGGTTAAGTCGTGCTAACAAATTCCCACAAAACATCCCTTCGACCCTTTTGGTGTTCAATAGATTTCTTTATTGCATTTCTTTATTTTTTAAATTCATATATATACTTGCTCAATTATATATATAAATGTATATATAATTAGTTGAATTTCCTTGTTCAAGAATTATTGAGAGAACAATCTGTTTGTTTAGTTCAAATAGTATACAATTTGCTTAACTATACAATTAAAAAACAGTTTCGAAATCATAGCGATGAAACGAAATCGAAAACGATATAAACAATGGTTCGTATCCATTTCCTATAGCTTGCAGTATTTAATATTAATTTAGTTATTATTAATGCTTTGTTCATTGTAAAAACTTAACAAATGTTTTCCAAACTTCGTTTATTTGTTGCCCATCTTCGATCTCAATGTTGCCTAAGTTATGCATCTTATTATTTCCTGTGTTTGTTCTTACAAATATGAGGGCAAACTGCTTGCTGAGAGATATATGTTTATATTCAAAATGTACAAGAGAATTAGCTAATGACTTGCGCAAGTGAAATCAAAGGAAAATCGGGGAAAACAATTTGCAAACCTGTTTGTGTTTTTTAACCACTCCATTAAGCCTGTATGGTTTAATCCAACCACCCACTTAACCCCTCAGCTATTTGTAAACTTTGCCAACAAAAGTTCAAGTTAACTGAACGGAACTGTAAGGAATTCCCTGCCGCTTCTGGATTCTTTGTTTGTTTTTCATTTATGCAGTGGAGGGGGTTGGGACTACCAAATAAAATCTAATAGAAATAATTTGCATTTTAACTTGGCAGAAATTTTAAATTTTCCTTAAGGTTTCTTAGCTTGTTGATATGTGAGCCAACTTTTTGGGTTCAGGAAAATATAAGAAGCGATTCCTTTCCAGCTTACCGAGTAATCCCAGCATGTAAGTGAGTGATGAGTGCCAGCAGTTGGGAAATTCTGTTTGTTTTTCTTCGGCTTCAACCTGAACTTTTTCTTAAAACTTTTGCGTTTTTCTCTGAAGAAAATCATCACCTTTCCTATTTTTAGTTTCGGAGAAAAGTTAAAGTCAGCACGTGCCTGGCCTGAATGAATTTTTAAACAGCAGGTATGTACTTTTTGATTGGTTCCTGTTTAATTAGGTTTCCCAAACCGAGTTTGAATCGAAGTCCCCCATTATAAATATATCAAATTAAAGCTTTCAAGCCGAACTGCCCCTCGAGAACCGGGACAGCCGAGTCTTTACACAACGCATAAGGAACTGGCAAACCGAGTTATAAAGCATCTAGGTTTATATACACTTCTCGTCGCTTTAATATCTATGGCTTATGTAGAAAATGGATCGTTAGTAAGCTTGCATTCGGTAAAAACACTTTGTATGGTTAAAAACTTGGTTTCCGCTCTGTCTTGGCTAGCTCTCGATGGTAAAACGTTGTCGTCAAGCAATTGGATTATCTATATTTAGCTAAGGTTATGTTTAGGTTTGATATTGATAGGTATGTCGTGATATGGTCAACACAAATTGAGAGTCTAGGGTTAGCAATCGATCAGAGATGGCAGGATCGTTAATTTAATTTATTTCCTTCAAAAGGTCTTGTGCCTAAATGTGTTTATTGCTTTGATATTTGCCTTTTCATCTCTGATGTGGCTTTAATAAATACGATTTGAGGTTTGGAAAAAGTAAACTTATTTATAATAACAGTCAAAAGAGTGTAAACCTTTCAGCAGGTTCCGAATTTAGTTAAATCTTAGACCTCTGCTGAAAATCAAAAAAAAAAAATCGATATTTGATTAGGATAATGTCCAAGTTAATCCGATCCATCTGATCTGATGAATATATGATATTCATTTCGATACTTTGTGTTTTAGATTCTGGGAAAACCATAGACGATCTTCGATCAACGAACCTTCTGCCATCTCTGAAACACTCCTTTCTTAGCGAATACGTATGCGAAGGCTATGTATGATATCGAATAGATATTGCTTATTGGGGGATATGGGAATCGTGATTGGATAGATATCAGGTGGCTTGAGTCTCGTGGCTCCCGGCTTAGAGGAAGGCCTTCTTGCTGGTGTCCTGCGCCGTGGTTGTGGTGGTCGAGATGCCCGAATCCTTGCCCACACTCGCTGTGGTGGACACGGCAATGCTGGGCACCGAGGTTGGCGGTGCTGGTGGTGCAGTGGCGGTCACTGTTCCCGTGGTTCCAGTCCCAGATGTCGTCACCCCGCCGGAACTGGGAGGTGGTGTGGCTGCCAAGGGGTGTGGGTATGCGGGGCTGAAACGTGGGCTTGCCCATGGCCAGGGCAGGATTGAGATCCAACATTGTCCTGGGACTCATGGCCACAATGCTTGCGCCCAGCGGACCTGCGAAAAGTTGAGCAACTTTTTGTTTTAACCCCGCCACAGAAAGGATTATCAGTTTCGGTTGGATAGGAAGTAGGTGGAGTTATATAGCCGGAAACAATAGATAGATATATAGTAGTGGGAGTCCAGGAAGAGTAAGAGAAAAACAGAGAAAGAAAAAGAGAGAGAAATAAATATTATTTTCATTAAGTCGGTTAGTCAAGCTGGAGAGTCCAAATTCGGTAAACTTTGAATTTTACTATGGCAGGTGGGAGGCAACTTTTCTTTTTGTTTTTTTTCGTATTATTATTTGAAAATTGCTGATGGTAATTACTGGGTGCACTTGGTTACTACGATATACGAGGTGTGGGGTGGTTTTTTGGGGGAAGGTAGGTAGGTAGGGAGGTGTAACACGAACACGAACACGAACATCGCACACAACTATGGAAACACTAGTCACACTCTAAGACTCGGGTCAAAATTCGGGTCACATGCAGCATGCTCGGCAAATAAACACATATAACACACATAAGGCTAGAAACAATATCTGCAAACTACATTTGGCAAAGATTTCCGCTTGGGTGGATAAGTTGGGCTCAAGCAAAAGGGGGGGTAGGGGTCGGCGGGGGACAAACTTTGTAGAATCAAATGCTGGGAAATCGGATTTGTGAAGGTGGCTCTAGAGTTTCTGCTTGCTACGAACTAGTTTCGAAGTCTTTAAACTATTTTGACACTTTTAGTTGGGAGTTTTCGGGTTGGAAGAGAGCGAGAAAGTTGGAGGTTGTTAGGGGTAGATAAAAAAGGTTTCTTAACCAGCACACACCCGCCCAGCAGAGTCCGAGTTTTGGTTAGCTGATAGCATGATAGATGAACGAACCGGGGATTTCTTATTTCGTATATAACTGAGGTTTCGTTTTTTTGATTTCGTTTCGTTTTTATTTCGATTTTGATGCTGAGTTTTTTCTTGTTTTGTGTCTTGGGCTGGCTTAGGAAATTACAAAATATCTTTCTGGTTCTGTTCTGTTTTCTGTCTTCTGTCTTAGTCGAAACTGAAGGCCATATCTGAAATACAAGAGTTCGAGATAATACAAAGTTGTTTCCATGTTTTTCGATCAAGTTTACATAGCTAAGGGATCTCTGATTCGGGGCTTTGAGACTAAAACAAAAACTCACAAAATTACACACGCACACACACACACACAGAGAGAGAGAGAGAGAGAGAAGATACGGTTACAGATCTGAATATAGTAGTATATATAGTATCTTGTACACTGGTAACGAAGAAACGAACGAGCCAGAACTGAGGAACAACACGTACACGATATATATATAATGTATAATATTATTTATGTAAAGATAGGTGGAGAAATAGAGAGAGGAAAACACGTAGAAAATTACATATTGTAGTTATATATACGATTATATAGCAGGTTGGAGTGGTAGTAGTAACAGTAGATAGCAGCGCCGACACGAGTAATCATAGTAATCATAGTAACCATTCGGGTATTCATAGGCTATACGAGTATCATATCTATGGCTATATGACATCCAGTATTGTGCTTTCGAGATCCACGTACCACGATCCGTTTTAGTTTATATATATCCTCGAGATCCACGATCTTAATCCAGTCCTCGAGGTTGCGTTCTCTCAAGTTTTCCTTCGTTTACTCATAGATCAGTTTGCCAAGTTCTTATATAGAAAAGATCATCACGTTTAGGCTTGGAAGTAATGGTATGGGGGCTATTGGTTCTTCAGCTGGATCTGTTGGGGCTGCTGTTCGTGGTTCTTGTGGTTGCTGTTCGGTGTTCGGTGGCTTAGAGCAGCCTGCTCTTTTTGCCATCGCGCGGTTTGCCAATCATGGTTGTATATTCATCTATTTACACGAGATTTTTGGGGTTTGGATTGGATCGTTTATCAATAAAATAAATTATATTAAAGTAAACGAAAGTGTTCGGAGTAAAGGAATCAACATGAAAAATCAAAGGTTGAGAAGGGTATACATAATAAAGAGTCTCGTATCTGGGTATGAAAATCATTGAGTAAAGGGCTTAGTTTATTTATATAGTAAATATATATATATATAAGTTGGTAGTATACATATTCTTGTATTTTGCTGACTCAATTTGGTAAGGTACATCCTAATCTGATTGGGGCGATGACTTTGAATATACAAGTATGCCTTCGATGGATGGGGAGAGAGTAAAGGTCTGCATATTAAGCGATGTGGAAATGACTTGAATCTTTGGCCTTATGGTTAGAGCTTAGAGAGGAATTGAGATCGATGAGTTTGAAAGGGAATATAGATCTTAATCTGAGATAAATCTTCATATAAAGAACACATTTCCCTTTTCATTCCCATCGAGTTGCCAGTCTAACACCATATTTTGCCATTTGAATGATTTGCGTGAAATGAAAGCTAAGCTCGAATAAAGTAATAAACTGGATTATGAATAAAGAAGCCTTGTATGGATGGTAATTACATAGAGTACATATATACACGTACACGACGAATGCTATTTTATATAATGGATAGAGTAGCCGAAAAGGGGAAGCACACCCAAGATCAGGGTCGTTGAGGGTCAAAGAATCGTATGACTGGCAGCATTAACTAGGCTCTTAGTTTAGTAACATTTGCTATTTATATTCATTTGCCAGGAGGAACTGCGAGACGGCACAAGGGATAACGAGTATTTATTACTGGGTTGTGTATTGCAAGTTAATCCATTGAACTTTCGATTACTTTCGAACTGAGGGTGCAGCTGTGCGAGCTTTTAAAGACAGGTTAAGAACTTGGTTGGCTTGCTTTAGTTGGCTTACTCGTTACGGTTTTTGTACTTTTAGTGGTATATTTTTGTTTTGGCGGTGCCTGTTTGAAGCGCAGCTCGTTTTCGAATGGTTTTTTACTTGGTTTTTGTTGGTGGCTTTGGCTTGATGCTTGCTCTTTGCTTGGATTGTGGGTATCGGTGTGGTGTGACTCCATGGCAGGGACACACAAAGACTCACCTGACTTGGGGCTGACCAGGTCCTTCGTTTTATTGTTCATGCGACGTGGTCCAGTTCCGCCGGATCCCATGGGACCGGAATGGGGACCCGAGCCCGGGGTACCGCAGCCACTGACACCGCCAGGGGCACCTGCAAAGTGCAATACAAATATTTTTGTTATTTTGGCAGATTCCTTAACGATTCTCCCTTCTATTGATTCCTATAAGTTAAGTTGAATCAACAATTTTATCTTTATTTCATGTATATCTTTATCTCTGTTTGATTCATAAAAGCCTGTAAGCCTTTTTATTATCAACAATTCAAATGGTCTTGTTTACAAAATCAATCATGATTTACGATATATTTAGGCGATTCACCGAAACATTGTTAATATCAATCAATCATCGAATAAAAGTTGAATGTTTTGAAATTGATTGAGATTATCTTTATTCGGCTGGCCATACTTGAGCTATTCGATATCAGTTTTATGTTTGGAAATGTTTAAAATATTACACTAGTTACTATTATATACCTCAAACTACAGTCTAGAGATGGACTCACCTGGCAGTCTGGGTTGCCGCGGCTGTTCCACGGGAAGCACTCGTCTCCGCTTCTTTGGCAGTTTGGCCCTGGCCTGCGTGTGCGAGTAGTACATGGCGAAGTTGCTGACGATGACGGGCACTGGCAGTGCAATGGTTAGTACGCCGGCAAGGGCGCAAAGGGCACCCACGAACATGCCGATGTAGGTCTTGGGCGCCATGTCCCCGTAGCCGACGGTGGTCATGGTGACTAGGGCCCACCACAGGCCCAGCGGGATGCTGTTGAAGTCATTGTGCGGATTCGGCTGGATGCGCTCCGCGTAGTAGACGAGGCTGGCGAAGATCACGATGCCCAGGACGAGGAAGAACACCAGCAGGGTTAGCTCCTTGGCCGAGGCCCGGAACGTCTGGATCAGAATCTTCAGGCCGGACGAGTGGCGCGTCAGCTTGAACAGACGCATGATGCGGATGATCGAGAAGAACTCGAGGATGTCAGCGTTCTCCAGGTGCGATGCGAACCGCTGAAGCACTAGATCGATATAAAAACTAAGCGTCGCTATGTAATCTATGATGTTAACAGATGACTTGATGAATTCACACTTGTTCGGCGATGAGATAAAGCGCACCTGATAAAGGAAAGTAATCAATCGATTAATTAACCAATTAGTTTTGAGTTACTTACCAATATTTCAAAGGTAAACCAGGCATTGCAAACGCATTCAATATAGAAGAAGGCTATGTGCGCATTGGTCTGGGTTTTGTCCAGAAACCAGCCGTTACTTCCATTGGCAGTTTTCACTGTAATATTCCGGACGATGGGCACCCGCATGTCGGGGTGGGTCTTCAGGCAGAACGACAGGATCGAAATGCATATGAAGAACACCGAAACCACGCCAATGGTCTGCAAGATAAGACATTTATGAATGATTAATGTCGTACAATGCCTTGATATGCTTTCGCTAAGCACTAAAAATAGTCGCCATATATGCACTTTCATAAAGAAATCTTAAGCACTTTTGTAATTACTTATTAGATGGCTTTTAAAACGAAATTTTCAAGTGGGTGTGCTCTTTACTCATTCGTGAAATTGTTGAGATTATTTATAGCTAATTGAAAATGGCATTTAAGTGCAGTTTTATATATGGAAATACCAAGTGATGTTGATAAATGAAAAAATCATAAAGACTCATTCTTATAATACCAAAGGAAGGTTGCCTTACCTTAGCTGCATTGGAACTGTAGGGCTCATCGAACAAGGACCAAATGCGTGGCTTCATCTCCTGCCACCAGGATATAGTGCCTTTGTAGTAGTCCTCCTCGAAGCCGAATTTGCGTGCCAATTCCTCTTCGGACGGTTTTTCCGTATCCAGATCGAGACGATCCAATACGGCCAGGGTTTCTTGGGTGTCGCGATGCTGCAGGTTAAACATCATGAACTTAGTTAAAGAGCGAAAAAAGGATTTAATGAGGCAATGACTTACCTGCGTATACGTCATCCAGCAGCAGGGCTCCACTTGGTTCGAGTCTAGGCCCCAAAACTCCAATTCCTCCTCGAACAGCGGTCCGCATACATCCGTAGGATAGTGCAGTTTGCCGGTTCTGGAGAATCAACAGAAACATTATGAAAGGATATACATAGAGTGTACAGATAGCAGGAAAATGACCTGTAATAGTTGAGCACTTGTGCGAAGACTCCCGGATGCCGATCAAAGAAGTACTCATTCAGTATCGGGTCATAGTTGGCCAGGGCCTCTGTCAATCGCGACAATCGCGTAGCCGGAATCTTCTTCAGCGTGGCCTTGTAGGTTTCGTGCCTAATGCCACCCACATTGAGCACCACCCGGTTCTCCGAGTCCATATTGATCAGATTCATGGCTGCATGCGCATAGTGTTGCATTTTTTTAGGTATATAAGTCATGGTCTTGGTCAAGAACTCAAAATTAAAGCTTGTTAAAAAGTATTTAAAACTAAAAAACTGATTGAAAATGTTTTTTTTTCTGTGTAATTTGGTTTTCAGTGTAGGATTTTGAGTGCTTTTTTGTTTTGTTTTCCGCTCTTTTGGTGAGAGTCTTGTGTGGGTTTAATGTCTGTTCTTTCTTGGGATTACTTTGTTTTGATTTGCTCTGGCCAACCTGAATGCTTTTCGTTGTCCTTGCCCACGGTTTTTGCAGTTAAGTTTGCCTTCGTCCAAGGCACCAGACTCTCCTCTCACTTCCTCCGATCCACTCTGCGGCACCCACTGGGGATCAGGTCTCAAGACCTCGGACCACCACTTGAAATCATTTGGACAGAGGTTAGGAAAGCTCCTGAATGGTCCTGGGATGTAGGCTACTCACTAGGTTGGTGTTGGATTGGACATAATGGCGCTGAAAGATAAGGGATATGAGGATTAGGATTTATATACTTAAGTAATTATATATTCTTCTAGCTTCTTGACATAATTACGCATTCAAAGACGTAAGATACCTTTCTTTTAATGGTTCATAATTATGAGTTTATGACCCAGGCACATGTGCTGAGTAAAGAGTCGGTTCATAAAGGCCATTATGTACGCACGCACGACTATTTTGGGAACGGAGAAACCACAAAGTACATGTAACACTTTACAAAGACCTATTTATTAAAACTAAAAAATGCACTTATAAGTAAAGTTCGTATAAAATATTTCCACAATTTGGCACATAAACAAATCACCTGACCTCGCCCCCGAATGTTAGGCATACAAATCATCGAATCTAAGACAATATTTTCTGTATACAAATCATTGGGAAATTCATATATTTCATATTACTTGAGATGATGGCCAACTTTCGCACATCTTCAGCTTGTGGCAGAATACAGGAAAGTGTGTTTACTTATAAAGCAATGGATATAGATCAGTGATTCCACATCCCTATGATTCAGTTATGTGCTAAGTGTGCCGTATGGATTCGCTGGAAGTTAGTTTCTAACTTTACTCTTAGTTGATGTATTGCATCCGATGGATGATTCGATGCCTGGATTCACCTTATTTAGCGAGTACTTCTACGCCGCATAAATATTTAGAATCAACAAACTCATCGCTCGGACTAGGGCCATTTATTTGGAAAATAGGCAATAATATTCGCTTCGATTGAATTGACCCATTAGCAGCTCGTGAAGCGCATCCCACTTGGGATTATTTTCCGTTCTTTTCCCAGATCTAACTAAATATAGTCCAGCCGTATCATCGATAGCGTCATCGAATTCGGAGAGTGGCACGAATAAAGACTATGTGCTATTCTAGTACATGGCAAAGAATTAAATAAAAGGAGCTAAACGTAACGGAATAATGAAATTGCCTTTCGTGATTTGCACAAAAGCCAAATATTTGTTCTTAAACAATATTTAGTTTTGGCGCTGCATTGTTTACACTCTCGCACGCACAGATACAAATGTATCTGGATAGCAGTAGGCACAGTTGCGGTCAAGAAAGTAATTACAGAATGCTTTGATCATTCAAAATCTTTCGATTAAAATGATAATCGTTTTCAAAATGCAAATCATCATTCGTGATAAAGAAAATAATAGTTTAAGAGCTAAATTCCTTGATGGGGCAACCAGTGCTATTACATTGGCCGCAACTGTATACACATGATGTACACAAAGTGAGCAACAGCGTCTTGTCAGCCTGCCTTTTTGGTCCAACTGCCATGTCCGCCCGCCCAGGTCCGTCCGGGCTGTTCTGTTTCTGTTGTCGATTCTCATCATTGTCCATTGGATGTTTACTCGCAGCCGGCTGCCCCTCAATTTCGATTCTCGATTTTCGAATCAGCGCCATAAAAATACAAAACAACTCACACAATTTTCATGAGGCTTTATAAACAAAACAAACAAGCCAAACACACGCTGAGGGCAGTTTTCCTGTCCGGAAAAGTGGTGGAATTCAGTTGCAATTAATGCTAATGATTATGTTATACACACTCTGCTGCCGTTTCGGGATTGCCAAACTCTAGCTTGATATGCATGGGCTTAAACTACTGCTAGATATGCTGCTACTGTATGTACTACGAATTTAACCGCATTATTTATTCACTTCTAATGAGCGGTGGAGAACTTGGAAGCTACCCTAAAAAACACACACTTCTTGGCCACAGAACCAGAAGTATTTAAAATGAGTTTCGGCTCTTTTTTTCCCTTTCACAAATGTTTTTTATACCGAATTTCCTTTCCCCCAGAAAGAACATTACACGCAAGTAGAGTAGTTAGAAGGTGGCTTAACTGCCTCCTGGGGGGAAAAATGGAAACTGGGTGGGAAATGTGGGGGTGCACACACAGTAGGTCAGGAGTGTTTTGTAAGTAGCGTGTTTTTGTTGTGGTATGAAGTTGACTGCCTCGGTTAACTTGGCGTATACTTGATATACACACACACAGCAGGACCTACACGTGTGTGTTGTCGTCGCGCACGCATCGATTTTTCCGTTTTTTGGTGTATCACAAACTTCCTTATTGTCCGACTTTAAAGGCAAGCCCAAAAGGAACTCCTCGAGCCGCCCAGACACATATTTCTCATTTCTGGCATCTTATTCACCATTATGGCCAGTATGAAATCCATATCCCAATCCATGTCCATGTCTTAATCCCGCCTTCGCCGATTTCTCACCTATTCTCTCATCCTGCGTCCTCGTTACGCTCTGCCCATAAACATAGTTCCGATACTGGGACTCTTATGGGGCCCTGCCCGCAGGAAAACTCAGTGAAAGCGCAGGAAAACCACCGTTTGGGGCTTGAAGTTGAAGTTGAGGAAAATGGCAAAACTAAACTGAGGACTATTCCACTACTGAACTACACTCGATTTCTTTTTGGGGCGCCTCCTTCCTCTTTTATTTCTTTCTTTCCGGGGAGTAGGCCGTCCGATCTCTTCGCGCGCGCGTTCCGAACCGTTCGAGGCGATTTTACAAACTGAAAAGGAATCCGAACAAACCGAACCAACACCGATGGAACTTCCATGCTCCGTCCTCTTTAGAGGGATGTTGATGTTGTTCTTCATCTCGTTGCAATTCGCTCACAGGCAAGTACATGCGCAGTACCGTTTTTTTCGATTTCACTTTTCTTTTGCTCTGACATTTACTTCGGTGTGCCGCCAAAATGCAACACTGCGTATGAGTGATTTCGAAAGTGTTACAAACTAAGCCAGAACATGCGTCATACTTACATATGAATAAATCGAAATTGTTTTCAATCGCCCGGTAGCATAAATCATCTTCCAAAAATGTAGATTTTCTGGGATCAAAGAGAAATATAAGAACAGCCAGAACATGAACATGTTTGTCATCAAAATTATTTGTGAACTGATAAGCGCTTAGTATAAAGCTTAGCAGTCTGCCTGTGATGATCTTATTCCCGTCTTCTCCTTACGAAACGTCATCAAAAAATATCATTCTCAGATCAATTGGCGGAAAAAAATTGCTTTTTTAACAACCCTAAGGGTCCGTTAAATCTTAAAAAAATGATGCCTTACAGTTGACACCTTGACAGTCTGATCTGAAGTACAGAGGAATTAAATGAAATTAGGAAACAATTAATTTATAATTTTAATATATATTTTTTTTATTTATTATCTTAATAAGCCAGAACCTGAGTTATACTTATCTAGGAATAATTCCAAATGGTTTTCAATTGCACAGCAGCACACATCATATTCCAAGATTGTAGGTTATCTGGGATCAATGTGCCATATAGGGTATAACAGCCAGAACCTGCCCTGTATTCCATCAAAGTTAATTATAGACTGATAAGCACCTAGAATAACGTATAAAACTATAGCAGACTGCCCGTGATGATTTTATTCCAGTTTCCTCTTTCAAGAAGCATAAAGAAAAATGTCTGGACTGGCGGCAGTTCTTTTGCACTTGCTAATTGTGAGTACTTGGCAAGGATCGCTGTCAAGACCCAACGAGGATTGTGATCGCTACTGCTTCTCAACGATGAGGACAGTAATGGATCATGTTGTAGCCAACAATGAGGAAAAAAGTACTTGTAAGTCTGCGAATGATTCCCTTGCTTTGCAAGAGGCCATTAGCAGCGTGAAGGCTTCTCTGGAGTCCAAGGATGTAAAGCTGGACAGGCTCCAGAGTCAGCTGATTGCCACGCAGGAATCTATTCAGAAGTTAATACCTCAGGGTCTTCAGGAGAAACTAAGCAGGACAGAGAGCCAACTTAATGACCTAGAAAATAAACTGCAATCTATGCAGAGCCAGATGGACAGCCACCTCACAGCTATTAAGGCAACCCTATCGAAGCTCGAAGTAAAATCCATACCACAAGGCTTCGAGCGTATCGGCCAAAGATACTTTTATATCCAAGAAAATAAAAAGGAAAATTGGGTTGATGCCCAGGACACCTGTCGTCGGATGGGAGGACACTTAGCCTCCATTCAAAATAAAGAGGAATTCGACGCCATTGTTGACAGGATCGACCGCGATGGAGCTTACTTTCTGGGCATCAATGATCGAGCCCAAAAGGACCGCTTTTTGTCTAGAGCCTCCGGAACGACAGCTTCCTTTTTAAAGTGGCGTGTTGGTGAACCGAGTCACAGCAACGACCAAGAGCGTTGCGTTACTGTCGCAAGCGGAGATATGTATGTCGGCAATTGCTCTTATGAGAAAAGATTCATTTGCCAATCAGATGACAACATATAATGAAAAACAAGAACTTCCTTCTCCATATCAATGTCAATATCAATTTCCTTAAAAATATATGGCCATTATGTTCAATTCCAAATATCGTCATGATTTCCAGACCAACACAGCTTTAAGCTCTGTTAAATTATTAAATAAATGATGTTGTTACAGATTTTAAAATATTTTCTGAAGTTTGTATTTATAAGAGTTTTGGGAACGTAAGATCTGAAGTACAGAGGAATTGTATTAAATTGAGAAAAAATTTTATATTTGAAATTCATATTTATTTTTATTGATTATGTTACTATGACAGAATATTAGTAATAATTAATAATAATTCAAGATTGCAGGACCACATATCATATTCCAAGAATTTAGGTTATCTGGGATCAATGAGCAGTATTAAGTATAAGAACAGCCTGACTGTAAACAGAGCTATTTATATATTGATAAGCGCTTAATGTAATGCCTAAAACATGGAACAGCAACCATTTATAAAGCCAGTCAGACGATGGTGATTTTATTCGCGTTTCCTCCATCAAGAAGCATAAACAAAGATGTCTGGACTAGCGGCAGTACTATTGCACTTGCTAATTGTCAGTAGTTGGCATGGATCGCTGGCAAGACCCAACGAGGATTGTGATCGCTACTGCTTCTCGACGATGAGGACAGTAATGGACCATGTTGTCGCCGACCATGATCAAAATAGCACTTGTAAGGCTGCGAATGATACCCGTAAAGGACAAAACGAGATCAAAGTTCAGTTGGCCGCCTTGCAAGAAGCTGTGAGCAGCGTAAGGGCTTCTCAGGAGTCCAAGGATGTAAAGCTGGACAGGATCAAGAGTCAGCAGGTTAACATGCAGGAGTCTATACAGAGGTTAATTCCTAATGTCCTTCAGGAAAAACTGGGCAGGACGGAGAGCCAAATGAAAGCCTTAGAAAGTAAACTGCAAGCCTTGCAGAGTCAGATGGAAAACCACTTCACAGTAATTAAGGCGAGCCAATTCAAAGCCCTGGAAAACAAACTGCAATCTATGCAGAATCAGATGGAAAGCCACTTCACAGCGATAAAGACGAGCCAAATGAAAGCCCTAGAAAATAAGCTTCAATCTATGCAGAGCCAGATGGACAGCCACCTCAATGCAATTAAGGCAACCCTATCGAAGCTCGAAGTAAAATCCATACCACACGGTTTCGAACGGATCGGCCAAAGATACTTTTACATTGCAGAAAATAAAGAGGAAAACTGGGTTGATGCTCAGAGCACGTGTCGTCGAATGGGAGGACACTTAGCATCTATTCAAAATAAAGAGGAATTCGACGCTATTGTTGACAGGATCGACTGCGATGAAGCATACTTTCTGGGCATCAATGATCGAGCCCAAAAGGACCGGTTTGTGTCTACAGCCTCCGGTAAAACAGCTTCCTTTTTAAAATGGCGTGCTGGTGAACCTAGTCACAAAAAGGACCAAGAGCGATGCGTTGCAATCGGAGACGGACGTATGTACGTCGGCAATTGCTCTTATGAAAAAAGATTTATTTGCCAATTAGATAACAACATATAATAAAAAAGCAAGAATTGCCTTCTTCAGCAGAACACATTTTATAAAACTAATCTAAGTTTTTAAGTTCGATTTCAAATATCGCCTTTATATGCAGACCAACCCATAAAGCACTCTCCATTATAATTATTAAAGAAATGATGTTATTACAGATTTAAAAATGTTTTCTTGAAATTTGTATTTATAAGAGTTTTGGGAACGTAAGAACTGAAGTACAGAGCAGTTGTATTAAATTAGGAAACAAAAAAGCCACATTTAAAGGTTCCTTATTTGGTTTTACAGATTTGAGGTACCTTAAACTATTTATAAAAATCAAATGCAATTTCCTAGGTAATAAGATGGAGCAAAGGCAAAGGCAGATGTGGGAATCAGATGAGTCCTGGTCCCAGCAAAGCGGTATTTGCCAAAATAAAGATGAGTATAAAATAGTGGAGTAGATCCGATATCCAGTGCCTACGCCTGCTGTTCCTCGTTTCCGTCGGCAGAGGTGTGCCATACATGACCCATTTCTAGGGCCTGTAGCTTGAGCAGCTCTTTCTGACTGTCCTTGGCCTGAAGGTGGAAAACGCTTTGCTATGGGAGCGTAGTATTGGATTAATTAAAAAGCTAAATGAAAGTCTAACATGAGTATTATTTACTTATTATTAGTTAAGCAAATAATACCATAATTGTTTCACGAACTTACCTTGACCTCTTTGGTGGTTAGGACATCCATTTTGTCGTAGATGATGGCATGCAGACCGAGCTCCTTAAGCAGCTTAATGGTATCCTTGGAGTTGTTGTCGTCACCCCAGCAGAACAGTACCAAGCCGCGCTCCTTGGCCAGATTTACCTAAAAGCGTCCGTAGCTGAATGATGCACGACTCGACAGTGGATCATGTTACCTGACTAGGGTCTCGCAGCAAGTCCTCGGTGTGAGCCACAACGCCCAGGAGCTCCATGGCCACCGCATGCCAAACGGCCAGTTCCATGGAGTTTCCCCTGGGGTCCATATACTGCTGATATTTCGTAGTCCTTCCAAGGGTTAGAAACATGACGGGATATCTATTTTGCTTGAATCTCAGAATGGTGCAGATGTCAGGATCGAAACAACTTAAGACAATCCTACGATTCCCTGCCTTTCGGAGAATCACATCCAGTATGCAATCAATATAGAGATTTCTATCCACCACATGTTCGAATTCCTCCTCCATTTTGCCGTCCTCTAGCCGTTGGGACCACTTGATTTCAATATTAAAACCAACATGAACATCCAGGGCATCAAGAACATCAGACAGCTGGGGAAAGGGTTGGTGCTCCAGTAAGTCATCGTTGTGAAAAGAGCGCGTTTCCCTGGACAGCCCCTCGGCTATATGGTAGACCTTTAGTTTCTTTAACTGCTCCAGGGATAACTCTCTCATTGGCAAGGCCAGGAAATCGTGCTCCTGCATACTACACTTCGACTTCAGAGAGACGTAGATCATGAAATCGTGATAAACCACCGGTACCAGATCCTTGCTCAGTTGCACATCAAACTCCACCATATCGGCACCATGATCAGCAGCATTCTTTAAAGACGTTATGGTATTCTCTCGAATCACAGCATCTTTGGCTTTGAAGCTGGTTCCCGAACCACGGTGTCCCACATCCAGTCCCGTCCACTTGTTGTTCCAATATCGGGCATAACTGACACTCATATCCATGTGTGCACACTGCGAAGATGGCTTCACGATAAGATAGCCAAGACGCATCATTCCCAAAGGTCGATGGCCCTTGGCACAGGTTATTGGTAGCTCCAAATTGCCTTCAGAACGCTTGAAAAGATTCGGTAGCACATAATGATAGCCCAGATGATTCGGTGGACCATCTTCTTTGGCCACTCGCGAGCTGTAGCTATACAAATCAATCAGATAGGCCGTGCTCTCAAAGTCTCCCACGGTCAGGTGAAATATAACCAAATCGGTGGCTCCACAGGCAGTACCGAATTGCTCTTGACTTCTGATTTCGCACTCATCGGCACTCAATGTGACCACCTCGCTGAAGCCAAAGGCTGCGGATGATTCTCCACCGTTTTCCTTGGTGTCATGGGTGTCATTCGATAGGGAATCCTCCAAAGGGGAAACGGGGGTCACCGACTCGCAATTGGCACTCGGAATACTCAGGTTCATGGGCGTTACCTTGACATGTATGTGTCTTCTTTTCATGCGCTGCTTAAACGTAAACGGGGCGTAAAAGAACTTGAGCTGAACCACAGTCTCTTTGGTCAGCCAGCCCCGGTCCACCTTCTCCTGGCCATTAATGGAGCCAAATATATCCGTGTGATTCTTGGCAGGTTGCTCATCGAGTTCCTTGATAATACGAGGCTGTAAGGAAAGAGGCTCTTTTAGTCATGTTACTTAATAAGCAGGCAAATTTGAGTCCCATACGAGTGTATTCTAATCAAGTCCGATCCCAAGTCCAGCTGGATTTTTGGTCTCTACTCGTATAGGGTCAGTACATAATCAATTAGTAAACCTGTAATTGGGTCTCCCAACGGCGAACCATCAGATGCTCCGTGCTCGGATCTACGGCACAGACCATATAGCGATATTCCGTGTCGCAGTGACGGGGGACATAAACCTCTCCTATCCAGAGATTGCTATCCTCATCTTCGTCCTCCTTAGCCAAAAGAGCCGCTCCCGAGTGCTGCCAATTCCCCAGGGCCTCGCAATTCCCCACAATCGCCAGTTGCTCGTTGGCAGCTAGTTCCTGGTTCATCAGAACCCGAAATGTCCAAAGCCTGTTGGTGGTTATATCGCCAAAGATCCGGCGGGATCCCAACCGGTTACCGTTCTCCGAGGAAGCAGGACAGGATGAAGGTGCCGCCATCGCATCCTCATCACCATCGTGGGAAGCCAACCAATTTTGCATTCTGTAAGTAATCATTCACATATTGTACACGGCCTTCATTTCACTTATTTATAAGGTCACAAGTTCGTATTTTTATCGAGTGCAAATAATTATATATATCCACGGTATTAACACAATCGATTAACTTCATTTTTACAGTGCATTTGTTGTTATTGACCTTATCAGTGGGTGACGTACATAAATAACTTTTATCACTCACTTTGTGTGGGTGTGTGTGCTGTAATCAAGGAAAACAAAAGCTATGTCGCTTTGTTTTGCTCTGCTTTCCCGTCGCTGTCTGCTTCCTCTTGATAGTTTTCCTCAATTTTCTTTGGCTTTCTCAGAGGTGCGAAACTATAACAAAAGAAATGAGCAAACTGAAGAATCGCCAGATTTTTCGGTCATAGCAGCTGTTTTGGCTCGCGGATTTCAGCTAAAAAAATTGCTATTTTCAATATATTTTACAGATTTCCATCAAGAATGAACGATGAAGGATACAGGAAGGGAGATGATACCATATGTATATATTATCTGCCCGATTTTTGTGCGGGTGCTGGTATAACTGTGAATTGCATTATTTTTTTCAAGGAAAATCGGGTCGCCGGTGGGAATGGAAAAACGAGTGACCATATGGCGAAATCTAAAAATTGCTGCAATGAATAAAAATAAATACTACCTGTGAAGACATCACGGGTTTCTCTACTTTTAATTTAAAAAGCTTTTGTTTGCAGTTATGGCATCTATATCTCAGTAGAGAAGTATCTATTTTGCTCTTGTTATCAGTATATATTGCATCTTTTAGATGTGTATATTTTATATTAATGCCTAAAAATGCGTAACCTTTATTCTATTAACATTCCATTTACAAATTAAAGCTTTAAAGTTATAGGGTAAAATTAGGAGATTATCCCCGAAGTTCGGTACTTTCCAGAAACTTTGGACATCGAGGAGATAGGTTTGCACTCTCATTTATCAGTGTCGTTTAAACACACCTGCTGCACACACCCATCATGGAGGATTGGGATCTCGGAAACTCGTTGGGTAACTCAGATCTTCCCCATGAGTATATTTACGACCACGATGATCGATATGAGCCGGCCAGTAAGACAAAAGTTACAAAACATTCGCCCTTCAAAGGCGGAAGGTTTTGATGCCAGAAGTAAGACTAAACAACGCAAAAGTTCGGGATGCATTCCCCCGTATCCGCATTCTTCTCGCCTAAAAAACGGCTCTCGTGTTTATGAATATATTAAGCCAAGAGAACAAGACTGCCGAGCGAAGTTATGGAGAGAGGCTTACGAGGTGAGCATAGTTTTGCGACAGGTTTTGAAGAGATCTAAAAGCCTTACTGTAGATTCTCCAGCCGGAGCATAAGAAGCCAGCCATTGCCAAGGAGCTGAAGGGCAAGGAGGGTGTAAAAACACTGATACATCCGTGTTTGCATAAGGTCAAAGGTCACATCGAGCCGGAAACAAATAACAACTGCCCGCAGTGTTGGAGGGCAATCCTTTCTGTCAAAGTTTTCAAGGACACAGCAGGCTAATGCATAGAAAATGCAAACTGTGTATATAAACATAAAATATATACATACATATGTATGGAAAAGTGTTTCTTTGATTTTAATGAGTCACTCTTTCGAATGCATTTCAGTTTTGGCGGGAAAGCGTTATGAGAAAGAAAACAACACATCAACAGCTGATCACTGTTGGGGAATATATGTGAGATTTATAACAAGAAGCTCGTAGTGCTATCCAATGCAAATGGTGATTATTAAACATCATTCAGCTTCTGTCAGTGACGGCTGGGTCCTAAAAGGTGGCAACTCTTCTTGAGAACAGCTGTTTTTGTTTGCTCTTTTGGCGGGAAATAACCAGTGCCAAATATTGTTTACAATTTGATTTTGTGGCGGTTTTTCAAGGAAACCTAGGATGGATCAATATCCCGATGAGAACGAGGAGTTCGAGCTGCAATACCAAGATGAATTGGAGCTGTTGGAAGACTTGCCGGACGAGTTTAACCCGTACGATGGCCCCAGCACCTCAAAACAGGCAGCGGAGAAACAAAAGGAAAACAGAGAGCCTCCGGCTTTAAAAGATGTCTCCCGCCTTGGTAACTCCACGCTGGGATCGCCACAACTATCCCAGATTACTTTCGGAGCCAGCCAGTTAAGTGGTGAAGATGAAGGCGCAGGAACTTCAGGCGGAGGCCATGTAAATCGACGTCTTTTCGGGACTCCCAAGGGTCCGCCAGTGGGCAGGGGCTGCTCCACGCCCCTTCCAACGGATGCCCGCCATTCAGGAGCTGGAAAACACTCAGCTAACTAGCCGGGGATTTGCCCAGGAAAAGGAAAATGAGGCTGCAAATCAACTCCAGGAAGTTGGCCTCAAAAACGTCAACAAGCGCCGTCTGGAACGTGATCTCTTCGGGGATATAGATGATCTCTTCCACGAGTCCTACGAAGACCCTATGGTGAAGAAAGCCCGAACCGAGGAGCAACGGGATAACGAGGCCATCGACAAGATCCTCGAACTTCGACGGAAAATGCGAGAGTCCAGCAAAACTATGCGGAAAGATGAAGTGAGCCGGCTAAAAGCCCTACATGACTTCAAGATGAGGAATCTGTCATATGAGATCCCAAACTGGCCTTTTTGGCCATTCAGAGGAGCGATCTCGAGCGGATCTATGTTAGATTTCACTCCGAGGAATACGAGCAAAGGCAGCTAGACATGATCAGTGCTAGAGGCGAAGTGGTGGGCAGCCTTTTGGGCGAAGCCAAGGAGAAGATCTGGCAGGAAGCCAGCGAAATAGTGAGTATCAAGCTTAAGGAAAGAAACCAATAAACATTGTTTTGATCTTGCAGGTGATAAGTCGTTGTGCAGTGGAAGCCGATCCAGATGTTACCCTCGTGTCCACCAGTTCCAGCACGGAACCTGGACGCCTGTGGGTGGACAAGTACAAGCCGAGAAAGTACATTGATCTGCTCTCCGATGAAATGACCAACAGGAGTCTGCTTTATTGGCTAAAAATGTGGGATAAGGTGGTCTTTGGCAAAGCTTTCCACACCAAACAGGAACAAGAGGCGGTGTCCGGAGAAACAGGTGGTGGAGGAGCTAGCAACCAGCTGAATAGCTTTAACAAGCGCACTGGCAAATTCGAATCTAATGGCGGTTGGCGACAGCGTAAATCTCGTCAGGCTCTCAACACAAATGTAGATGCCCTGGGCAGACCCATGCAGAAGGTGGCTTTGCTGTGTGGTCCACCAGGTCTGGGGAAGACCACACTGGCTCACACAATCGCCAGGCATGCTGGCTATAATGTCCGGGAGATCAACGCCTCCGATGATCGCAGTCCCGAGGCCTTTAAACTGGCTTTGGAGAACGGCACACAAATGTCTTCGGTGCTGAATGAGGACAAGCGACCCAATTGCATAGTTCTAGGTGGGAAAACCATTTCTAATTTTCTGATATAAATTATTAATCATATCTTTCACTTCAGATGAAATCGACGGCGCTCCACGGCAGTCAATTGACTATTTAGTGAAGTTCATCAGCGACGGGATTTACAACAAAGTAAAAGCCAAGGGCGCTAAGCCAGAGCACAATGTTCTTAAGCGACCCATTATCTGCATTTGCAACGATGTCTACGATCCCGCCCTGCGTCCTTTAAGACAAGTGGCCTTCGTGGTCAGTTTTCCACCCATCGCATCTGCACGTCTAGCGGAAAGGTAGGCTGTTTATGGTCATACTATACTATAGTATTCTTACTATTGATAACTATCTTTTAGATTAGTTAAGATTGCCCACAGAGAGCAGCTAAAGACAGACTTTGGCTCTCTGATTGCCTTGGCTGAGAAATCTGGTAATGATGTGCGAAGCTGCATATCTTCCATGCAGTTCTTTAAGTGAGTATTTGGCAAATATTTATCATGGTTTATATTAATGCTGACTCCCCTTTCAGTGTCCAAAAACACAGTCTCACTCTGCAAGATGTGCTCAACAACAATCTAGGACAAAAGGATAGGCATCAAGGTCTCTTCGCTGTGTGGGATGCCATTTTCCGAGTGGGTTTTCTTTTTTTTTTTTGTATATATTTATGTGGCTTTTTAATCTAGCTTATGATATTTTTCAGATACAACGCCCGCGGAAAACCCTCCAGGCGGACGCCAGTAAGGTCGACGAACCCGCCCAGGTAACAATGACCAACATGTCAGTGACCACACGAGTTAGCAATGTTCTGGATGTCGTCCATTCCAGTGGAGACTTCGAAAGGTAATGAAGCCAGTAAGAAATGCAATCTACCCTTTTAGGATGTAGTTTTTGGCTACATTAGGATGTCATTTATGTTAGTGTTCTCTTAATTCACGCAATGCTCTTAGTCTAATTAGTTGGTTTATGACTTAAAATGTTCTTTGATTCGGCAGACTTACCCAAGGCGTGTACGAGAATTACCTACAACAGAAGATGCCCGATCCCAACTTTTACGGGCGTGTGTGATGCCCTCAAATGGTTTTGCTTTACGGATACAGTACAACATCAGATTAGCAGACAGCAGAACTACAGTGTGTACCCGTACCTGCAATACGGCTTTGTCGTTTGGCACTTGCTGTTTGCCACACTGGCCTGGCCGAAAATTGCATTTCCCACGCGTGGCTTTGAGGTGAGCTAGGAAGAGGAAAAGAAACGATGACGAGATGATGGCCCCGGGCCACATTATTTCTTTTCAACGCAGTGAGGCTGCTTCTTTGAGGCAGGCTCATGATTTATGCAGGCGTCATTAGCCGGGGCAAACATCCCCGGCCAGGCCCTGTGGAAAGTGCATAATCAACACAATCAAGCCATGTAATTTCTTGTCCATTATGTGCCTCAAATGCAATCACAAGATTAATGAGTCTCCTGCATAGATTTCGCAGTGTTTACGCAAAGACCAACCCCCTTTTATCCTTGCAGTTCCAGCAGAAGACCACCAACCAGAGAAACATCTTTCAGGCCCTGTGCAAAGGTGTCACCACCTCGGCTTTGGGTGTGGGTCAGGGCAGAACTCTGCTCCTCGATACAGTGCCATTGCTGAAGAGGATTCTATCGCCGCAATTGCGATCCGTTGCTGTGCAGTTGCTGTCGCCGAAGTAGGTAAATTTCTGGGGTCCGTAAAACAGTTTTTTATACTCATTAATTTCAGGGAGCAGCAGGACTTGCGACACACCATCGAGGTGATGGTTGATCTCGGCCTGACTTTTGTGCAGGTCAAGTCCCAGGAAGGACACTATATCTTCCAAACTGAGCCGGATCTCGATGCACTCAGTGCTTTCCCAGGTAAGTCCACATAACGGAGATGCAAAATAGATCTAAAGCTATGCGTTTATATCTTCAGGGTACGCTGGCCTCACGCTCCCGTACTTTAGTCGCCAGTTGATAGCCCGTGAGGTGGACTTGGAAAGGATCCGACGGGCTGCCCCCAAGGGTGGAGCACCTTCAGTTCCCGCCGCCAAAAAGAAGACACCAGGAGCTGCAGCCCAGCTACCCAATCATTTGCAAACACTGAAGCCGAAGCCAATTTCGGCGTCAAATATGAGCAGTGCACCCAGGCAGCAGGTGAATCTTGGAGGATTTGCATGCCTTGCATTTACTTAGCAGCAATTTACTTGCAAATTTTAGCCACTCACTGAAAATGCGCATATGCTTCGGGTTCGACCTCTGTTCGTTTTTCCCATCCCCTAAATTACCTTCCCTTGCTGTTCTGCCCAAAGCTCTTTTTCTCGCTGCAAATCCTTGGAAAGCTAATAACCCATAAGGGGATTCCGGCGGTATTGCCATCGGAGTCGTAATGTGGGATCAGCGCAAACGAACATTTATTGCCCATCTTAAACGAAAGCGACTGGGAAAGCTACTTTGTTCTTAACTTTATGGGGGTCCTCATTTGATTTTCTTTTGTTTCCTTTGCAGAACAACGTATATATTTTTAAAGTCTTTATCAGCATTCTAACTTACTTTTAAGTATTTTTTATGATTTAATAAATAAATATCTTCTTTTCAGCTCACTAAAGACTTCTTTGGCCGGATAACTCACAAATCGGCTTCAACCAATTCAGCAGAGGAAGGTAAGTCTTTCAAAATATATAACTATCCTGTTTTTGTTTAATTTGAGTTATTTGCAAAAGCCAAAACCGATGCTATTGTGAAGAGCCCCATTTGGTATCGCTATAAGGAGGGTTTCAACAATGCCGTTCGCAAGGATGTTCACATACACGAACTGCTCTAGCTTTAGCTTTTTACTTAGGTCTCTTACTCTATTTATTCAAATTGTAAAATCACATTCTATATAGGAAATACCCGAATGCAGGTTGGTAATAAATTTACTATAAGTAAGCCTCTCATTGTATCTTTTTGAATTTTGGAAATGAACGATTAATGAAGTTTTCGGTTTTAACCATAAGCTTACGCGGGGATTCACTGGAAGTCTCTCAATGAACAACAAGGGCTGAGCATTCTGAATCATGCTGCTCTATTTCTAATTCATTCTTTGTGTGGTTCCTAAAAACAAAATTAACCCCACCCTTGCAGTCTTTACACATGTCTGTAGTTAGCTGTGCTTTCTTATCGCGGGTTTCGGTGGGTTGAGCTCGGAAAGTGTTCCCGAATGCCTCGCTTACTCAGTTGCCCGCCGCCCGTCCAGATGTCTCGACTGTATCCCGCGTCGGTGGTGCTGTCGCTGCTGCTGGTGGCGCTGTTGTTGCTGATCCACCATCACGGCACAGATGCTAGAGTCACGCAGACAATGCCCAGTGAGTAGCCACATCGTTGGTGTGCCACAGAACCATATAGAGATTGTAAATATTTCCTTAATCTCAGATTTTGTTTATCAAAATTTTGCATATTGTTATAATTTATGAACTGATTTTGCATCTAAGTTGTTGCCCAGCAACCATTGTTTCCATTTAATTTAAAATCATCATCTGTGGTCAATGCCAACTGCCGATCAGAATATATAATAATAACATATAAAATCTAACTGATCGCCAGGAATTTGTTACGAGCTGCCTCCACGTTCCGAGGGTGTTTGTGCCATATCAGTCGAGGGTTACTACTATGACTCGTCCCATCTGGATTGCATTAGCTACAATATTGGGGCCTGCCACCTGACCGTAGGCCAGACTTTCGGTAGCCAGCAGGACTGCATCGCCACGTGTATCCAAGGCAACAGTCGCAACCAGGACTTGTATGTGAACGAGTAGCATAAATAAATACGTAAACAAATGAAATAGTTTGATTTGGTAAGAGTTAATCAAATCGTCCAGAGCGCCAAACAAGTTGCGTCGAAGTTCCTAATCTCAGCTGGATGTCAATCATCCGCCCCGTTGACCTGTGACGTAACTGCCTTTCGATTGTCGCTCAGTCGAAACGTGCGGCTAGTCTGTGATTATAGGTTCTTGGAAATTAAAGTTGTCTTGGTTGATCATTGCATGTGGATTTACGCTAGCTTTAAGAGCTGTGAATATATCGAAGGATGACTGTAATATTGCTTTACCATTCATAATGAAAAAGCATAAAAATGTATGAATAATAGTTTGACCCCGTAGAACGCCATTGAAGGAGATGATGCTACTGATAAAGTCGGTCTATTTTCTCAGGGCATTCGCAGTACGTTGCGTATACGTCATGATGGCCTTATCAGTCGAAAATCTTAGTTTGCTCCTCTTAGCCTTCTGCAACAGGCACTCGCCGGATCTAGCCGGAATTTGAGGAGAGTCAAGCCTCATCTCTCACCATCGAGTATTCGAGTATTATCAATCAATACACATGAAGAATTTTAAATTGATATAAAAAAATAAGATTTTCATGGATTAAATTAATGTTTAATTCCCAAAGAATAAAAGTTTTATTAAGTAGCATTCCCATTTAAGTAATAAAATTTAAGTGCTATAGAAAAACTAATTTTGAACACTCATCGATTGGAATTTCCCTCTGTGTACAATCCGAATCAGCAGCAGAGTCGTTGGCAGAGGCAGTCTGATTACAAATAGAAGGCCTTTTGTTCGAGGCTTCGAGTCGAGTTCGCGACTCGACGTTTAGTCAGTGACCAAGTGTGAGGTGAACGAAATCCGTTTCTTTCTGCCATCAAAAACTCTCAAAAACTGCGCAGACAAAGTCCAAGGGGAGGAAGACTAGATCCCTAAAGTATTCCCTATCTGCATTTCGAACTAGCAACGGCTGCAACAAAGACTCATTTGTTTTTTTCGGCTGGGCTCTTGCACTCTCGCTGAACTTTGAAGTGCGACGAGTATAAAAAACGCATAAAGTCGGAATAAAGAAGTAAATAAATAAGAAAAGCAGACAGATCGGCCTATCATCTATATACTAGAGGCCTTTAATCACAGTGAAATCGGGAATCGGACACATTCCGTACTGCCCTCTTATATATGGCGAATTGCTGCGCATTTGTGTTTGTCCTGAACCAGATTGACATCATCGGTGCTTGGGAGCAAAGTAGAGCTGCAATACAGAGCTGACCAAGCGACACTTGCTGGGAACAGTCCGGAGAAGTACACGAAAAACTATAGGAACTACCGTCCAGAACTTGTTATCAAAATGACCTACCATTGGATAACCATTTGGGTTTGTGTGATCTTGCTGATCATCCCGGATCAGAAATTCATGGCAGAGGCGAGCGTGCGTAAGTACTCAAGAAACTATGAGGAATAGATGTAAGCAAATAATTACTAATTTCGATGCCTCTTTTTCAGGAGATCTTTGTCCAGGTCCCCCGAGCACGACTGGAGTGTGTATGCCAACCACCATGGGCATCCATTATGATCCGGAAGCGCAACGTTGCAAATATAAGGGTTGTAGCAACAAACGGCTCTTCGCCTCCCTTGAGGACTGCGACAAGATTTGTAACAATCCGCGGCACGTCAAGCGGCGCAACCAAGCAAGAGCCAATGAAACTCCACGTTGAATAAATCAAATCGAAATAGAAGGGAATCTTTTTTGTTCACTTTCAATGGGCTTTATTAAGTGGAAAATATTCCGACTGAATATCGTGTAATTTAAGTTGAAGACATCCTAAGTTATGGAGAACCGCTTGTCAGAATACATCATAAACTAAATAGGTCACTGCAGTACTACATTGTATTTCATCTTTTAAGCTAAAATTGCTGGAAAGTCTATATTGTTACCTAAGTAATACTAAAAACTTGATGTAGATAGATAGTAAGTTAGGGAATTGACATTTCACTTAGCACTTTCATATATCACGGCAGTTGAACTCGCACTCCGCTTTGGTGGAGAATCGGTTGTCGTTGCCACCGCATCCGCCGTAGATAAAGGGTTCGCAGTGGCGCTTGACGGGATTGTAGGCGTAGCTCTCCACATAACCGAAGCAACGGCCACTGATCATCGGCTGCAGGCACAGTTTAACTAGATTTTGAAATACCGCTTATTAGAATGCCAAAGGCCCTGAGCAAGTCTAGCGCTAGAGTTACCTCTCTTGGAGGCCGCCCCTGAACGATGCGGAATCAGCAGGAGGAGGCCAATTAAAAGCCACTGCCAAGGAGCCGGCTTCATTTCATCTGTAGTTGGCGGTCCACCCTCTACTCGTCTTCAGCCGATAATCAACCGTCTCGTTCTTGAGCCAGCAACTCACTGAACCGGGCACTCAGCATTGGTTTCTGTGTTTACAAATGCCTTCAAATGCTCATACCCGTTTTTTGTTTTGTTTTTGCCAATACTCAGCATTGACCAAGTTAACAACTACAGGGGATGACTTAGGCCTGACCGAAATCTAATTACCTACCTTTTAGAAACTCTCTTAGTGAGACCCACTACTATGCTAATTATACAAAACAATCTATAACTTAGATATTATTTGTGATTGATTTACTTTGGTGACTTTTCATGAAAAGCTAAATAACAATTACTCAATATAAGTCAGTGGGAAAACTAATCCTCCTCATCGCATACCCTACAATGGCTCTCATAAAAAACAACGCCCGCGGAGATGACGTAAAGACACTTGGCAGAAGGCAACAAAAACATGTTCCGCATATCAATTTGGCACCAACAACGAAACAGCTTTGCCAATACTTAAAAAACCAACTACTAGTGTGTGAAGCGTTCAGATTGACAGCCGGAGAGGCGATTTCAATTTCAATTTGAGTTTCGCTTTCAACCTGCCAGCCAATCGAATAGAAGAGCCCAGCTTATTAGATATATTTCTTGGAAAAAGTTAGTTAGTTTTGGTTTTAGTTTCACAAACTACTTCACACACTGAAGGCAATCGCTTTTATTTTCGAAGAATTTTCCCACAGCTCGGCAGCCTTTGAGGCTCATCTGAAAGCAAATATTCCTCCACGGACTATACAAATATCCACGGATCATGGTGTCACAAGGCCCTGAAGTTCCTCCGCCATTCTTGCAACGGTCTAAATGAAAATTCAAGGAAAACTGATTAGTATTTCTAGGTAAAGAGTTTAGAAAAGAAATTCTTACAATTCCATCCCAAAGTGTATCCAAGGTAGGCTACCAACAAGCAGGCCATGTAGAGAGTCTTCATTTGGGGTATGACCGCGTTAAAGACGTTTACCCTACAGTCTTAACTGATGATCAAAGACTAACTGATGAGATCGAATCACAGAACTTACTTAATAGCTGAGACGAATGAAATTCAGTTGAAATAAATTACAAATTTCATGCTTTTACTCCCAAATTATCATATATATTTCGATTTCATGACATCAAGTCTAGGACTTAACGAAATACGATTCTGGAGAGAATTATAATATATCGGCTTAGACTTTTTTTATGTTCCCACGCACTGAAGGCAATCGCTCTTATACTCAAAGAATTTTCCCACAGCTTGGCAGCCTTTGAGGTTCATGGAAAAGCATGAGTACTTCCACGTACTGTATATATATCCTCTGATTATCCTGTCGCAAGACCCTGACGTTCCCCCAGGCTGCTTACAGCGAACTAAAAAGAAAATGTTTTCAATTTGAATAATCCGCAGTATTCGACAATTTATTTCTTACAATTTGATCCCAAGGAGTACCCAAGAAGGGCTACTATCAAAAAGGCAACACAGAGAGTTTTCATTTTGGATGATTATACGTTGAACTTAGCTGAAGACAAACTGCATTTAACTCAGAGCCTGTGAAGCTATTATAGCTAAAACTAATGCAATTTAGTCGAAATAAATGGCAAGTGACATGCTTTTATTCCCTATATGTAATATTTTTTTTCAATTTCATGACATCAAGTTTAGGACTTCTCAACGTAATACAATTCTAGATAAAGATATTTTTCAATTCGGTATTTTAGGATTGCAAGCACTGAAGACAATCGCTCTTATTCTCAAAGAATTTTCCCACAGCTTGGCAGCCTTTGAGGTTCATGGAAAAGCATTTGCTGCTCCACGTACTGAACATATATCCTCTGATTATCCTGTCGCAAGACCCTGAAGTTCCCCCAGACTGCTTACAGCGAACTAAATGAAAATCATTTTAATGTAATAGTCCTTCGTATTTGCCGATTTAATTCTTACGATTTGCTCCCAAGGCATATCCAAGAAGCGATACCATAAAAAAGGCCGCATATAGAGTTTTCATTTTGGATGATTTTACTTGAATGAAGTCCGAAGACTAACTGCCTTTAACTCAGAACCTGTGAAAGGTAAGAGCTGGTTAATAGCTAAAGCTAATGCGATTAAGTCGAAGTAAGTGGCATGCTTTTTTCACAATGTATATGCTGTTTAGACATTTTAATATTTTAAGTAACTCTCCTTGCATCATTTGGCCAAGTAATAAATGCCGTTTTAGTGTTACTTCTAACTGCAGTGCTAGGCCACTGATTTAGTAATTAAACGAAGCTGAGGGCGAGGGACAATTAACGTCTGGCGCTCAATTATTTCAAGCAAATTAAACAGTTAACCGAATTGCCACCCCGCATGCCTGACATTTTGGCCATTCAATCAGGCCCGAAAGGTTCGGGCCATCATGTGTGCGGGAGCTAATGAATAAATAGCACGGCACTTTGACAGTCCCCAAACTCCGGAGTTCCTCAGCATCGGAATTATCGTTACATCATCATCGTTATCATCGTCGTGGAGCGATAATTCAATTTGCACTGCGAATTAACACCTGGCATCGTTTCAGTTTCTGTTTCTGTTGTTGGCCATCTCGTCTTGCCTTGCCCAGGATGCTGGCCCTAATGTGGCTCTAATTATCGCCCTTGCCCAGGTCTTTAGTCCTTTCCCATCCTGTCAGCACACAATGCAACTTTAATGAGCCCCACAAAGTGCCATACTCGCCAATAATAATAATATCTGTCTCTGGAAAATGGCCATATTAGCCAGTGCTATGACATTCGTATTTATTATGCAAATTGTTTGCAATTTATGGCTCTGTTTGGGCTGACTTAGGCTGGCCAGCAGGAAGTTGGGGACTAAAATGTAATCAACTGCTTTAATTATGTGGTTCTAAGGGGTTCTATCAGAACCTTCTTTCGTAGGCACATCTTTATTAGACTCACAAGACACTGAAGAAATGGGTCTATCCGTTCTTAATTTCGCTTTCAAAGGTACAGTACTTAGTCTGGTTAACAGTTCTTTATTCTAATACTTCCTTTCGCTGCAGTTTTGTTAACAAAATCTTGTTATACGCACTTGGATATGCAGTCCTCCAATCGCTTGAAAAAGTTTCCTCTTCCCGAGCAGTAACCAGATATTCGCACACATTTTTTTTTCCTTGGTATGTAGGAATAGCCCTTACACTTTCCCACAAACGACGCTTTCAGGCCACAGATTGCTAAAGAAACGCAAATTTCGGGATAAATTCACTAAGTTTTTATGTATTTCTTACCGCTCTTATAGGCTGTTTTCGCCATCAATCCACTTAAAAAACTCAAAAAGAGGAGAATAAAAAACGTTCTCATTGTTAGGCAGAAGTTTTGTTTCCTTCAGGGGACTTAATGTAACTAATATTCAAAAGAGCTATCGCTTATTCGTATAACAACTTTAAATGGCTGTTGCTAATTAATTAGTTCAAGTCAGTCTTTTCCTAACAAGAAGCTTATTGCAGACATTGAAAACCATTCTAGTGAATTATCCCTACCTATCCCTCAGGTTACTATCTATTTCTTGCAGGTGGTTTCGCAGTCCTGCTTGTTGCTGAATTGATTGCTATTCTGCAGGCAGCCCTGCCAGAAAACGCACTCGTTAAGTTCGTCCACATAGGAATACACGGTCACCAGTTCCTCACATGATCCTTCGAGGTAGGGCTCAAGGCTGCAAGTGTCTAGGAATACTGTGAGTTTACCTGGGATTACCTAGTTAAGGGTTTTATTTAGTACTCACCATCTTCAGAGCCTCCGACTAAGCTCAGCATTGCAAATAATGAAAGAAAGATTGTTGTTTTCATCCTGAAAGAAAGTAAAACTGCGGTTGATTGAGACTTCTTCAAGTTTCCTCAGTTTCAGTTTAAACTAACTTTAACTTTTATATTTCTTTGTTCCATCTGAAACTAATTTAATCCGTTTGACATTAACCTAACAAATTAAGAATTGGTTTCAGATTACTTTTTTTATTTCTAAAACGAGCTTTTATTTTTTCAGTTCCATGATGTTCTAGCTACTATACACTTGCATCTAAAAGAATATATTTTCATATATATGTACGATCTTTGTGTAAATCAGATAATTAATCTCGCCTCAGCGCTCAACGCGTCGTATGCGCAATTCGAGCTACAAACTCACACATGGATGGACAGAGAGTGAGCAAATGATTTAATTTGAGCTCGACTCGACGGCTCAAACTCAGTATATAGAACTTGAATATATAGAACATTCGGCTCAGTTCAGTACACAGTCGTTGCTATTAACGTTCAGTTATCAGGTTTCACAGACAAAATGCGTCTGCGGATGACCCAGTTTCTGTGCCTTGGGGCACTTCTATTGCTAAGTCTTATGCAACTCACGCAGGCAGTGGCCACACCCAACAACAATAATAATAATAATAATGCTAAGCCGAAGCCTATTGCTCAGGTGCAACCAGCGAGTCCGGCAGGAAAAAAGCCTGCAATCGTTGCAACCACATTAAAGCCACAGAGATTGGTTCAAGGTGAGTTTATTTTTGAAATGATAAGATCATTGATCTTATAACTAAAGAAAGAAAGTTACTTGAAACCAAATCTTTCTTTTACAGATCCCAAATGCCTGCAGCCCTTGGAAACGGGTCCTTGTCGGATGAACCTGGAGAGGTTCTACTACAACAAGGACACAAAAACCTGCGAGACCTTCAAGTACGGCGGATGTCGCGGCAATGACAATCGTTGGGGATTCCGGCAAACTTGCGAGGAGGCTTGTCTTCCAAAGAATAAATAATCACAAGGAATGTAAAGGTAAGTTTTTAAATCTGAATATGTTAACTACTTAATCCATAAGTGGGATAGGCACAAATGTGATGTCATTGTTGAGAAATATGAATAATACATTTATAAACTACTTTGTTACTCAAGCATTACATTCAATTTTTAACAAAATAAAGTAATTTTGATCTGGATTTCACTTCCGCTCTTTGAGAAATATAACTATATTTATTTACAATAACTTATATCCTAAACAATATTTGTACATCAAGAGAAAGCTGGTTAGCATTAGTTTAAAGTAGTCAATAAATTAGTCATGATACTGATAGCCATTTCAACGACAAGTACTTAAACTATTCATTAGCCAGTAATCCAGTCAGATGGCAATTAAGCTAGATCCCCTTCCACCTTCTATACGTGATGGGGTTTGCCAAAACGATGAAACCGATCCGGAAGCAAATGGGAATATGATTTTATGGCTAGCATTATGAATCGGTTGGCTGGAGCGTTGAACTGCAACTGAAGGTTGGGTAGGCTTGTTAGCTGCTTGATAGCTGACTGACAGTGCCAGGTGATGTGGATATAGACGTCAGAGAGCGGCACCGGCGTGATTTACATGCGACGTCGAATCAGTTGGACAAACAAGCTCCCGCTCCGATAAGTAAGGCACACAAAAAGAGGCAAAAACGGTGGGTAAAAACCCGGCCGAGTGGGTACGTACGTGAGTGGATCAGCTCGGACGGATAGTATTTAAGCCTCACTACTCCACCGATCCGAAATCACTCGCAGCCACTCAACGGGATCGAAATGTGCTACAGATATAGCTTCAGTTTTATTACAATCGCGGCGGTTCTGCTTCTGGCAGTGGGCATTCAAGGAGCTCCCTCGGATGTGGTGGTGGAGAAGGCGGAGGACCCCGCAGTGCATAGTCCCCTGCCAGATGGTCATTTTGAAGTCCCGGAGGACTGTCACCAGCCCAAGGAAACTGGTCGCTGCTTCGCTTTGTTCTACCGATATGCCTACAATGTGGATACCCAGGCCTGCGAGGAGTTCGTCTACGGAGGATGTGCCGGCAATAAGAACAACTTCGAGTCCAAGGAGCAGTGCGAACAGGCCTGTTTGGGAAAGTCTGCCAGTCCGACTACAGAGGCCTCTACAGAAGCCAACAGCGAGGTCACCACCGAAAATAGCACCTCTGCTTGATTTATTTTAGTTTTTTAGTTCGTAATTTATCTGTCATCTGAATTCATCGCAAAAGCAAAAGCAACACATTAAGCTACTGAGTTGATTATTGAAATAAATTGATTTGATTTTTTATTAATTTTAAAATAATGTTGTTTTATGTATAAAAGATATGGTGTATATAAATATATACAATAACAAACACACTAAATGCAGATTCTATTCTGTTTTATTTTGAACGAATATCTAACAGTGGGTATCTGTATCGATTATGAATGCATCTTAGGTAGTCATTTCGGGAACTTGCAACTGGAAGATACTCTGTTAATCCATGGAATTTAGCAACAATTAAAAACAATTCATGTAATTTCGTTGCGAAATATATTGTTAAATAAGTTCATTAAGCGGGGGCTTTTAGGATTTTGATAGCTTAAGCTAAATTAAATATCTTTTGGTTTAAAAGTTTCCACTTCCTCTGCCAAATACAACACACAGTTTTATGTATTTAAAAGAGATAACGTGAATTCGAATGAAAGCCAGACAAACCCTCTTCGAATCACCAATCAGTGCTGGATTTCATCTAGCTAGAACGTAGTTCCTAGGCTTATTTACGACCCCGGCTTTATTTCCAGCACAAACAAAAAGTACTCAAAGCCTCGTCTATTTGCCCACCAATTTCACGAGCACTTGTTAATGAACCGAAAGTTCATGAGCACATCGATAAGATCCCGATTGGTAGTTCCCACTCCCGACTGACACGGTGTATATAACCCAGTGCCGAACCTCCGATTAGCATTAGTCGTTCCGCGGAAGTTGCTAGAGATAGTTACCTTAATTGAGATCAGAATGAAGTTCATTGCTGCCGTCTGTGTTTTGTTCGCCCTGCTGGGTCTTGCCTTGTCGGTCAAGGATCGTAAGTGAAGGAGTCCTTTGGAAATGGAACCAATTTTAACCCCTCTCTCCTCTAAAAGCTCTCTGCAGTCTGCCTGGAAAAACCGATGGCAATGGCCTCATCAAGTGCGCCGCCTTCATCCCCAGCTTCAGCTACAATCTGGCAACCAATTCTTGCGAGGATTTCATCTACGGGGGATGCGGCGGAAATAATAACCGATTCTTATCTCAGGCTGAATGCGAACAAAAGTGCAAGGAATAAATATTTGAAACTCTTGATAAACCCCATTGAAAAATAAAAATATTAAAATAAAAAATAAGTTGATTAACAGACTAGCAATATCTCTGTTTTAAGCAGCAAAACTTAGAATTATGGACAGAATATAAGTTATAAATCCTTATAACACATCATGTTGTTCTCACTTTTAATTTTAAAGATCATTATTGGTGTTTGAGGCAGTAAACTATATGGTGATTTTGATTAGAGAATGTAGATTGTTTTTTCTCGAACCCTAAGTTCTTAGATTGATGAAATAAATCAATTAAATCATACAGAAAGCAATTAGAATTTCTCTTTAAAGCCATATATAGATAGATGGCTCTCAAATTTAATGACTAAAAGTGACAAGCGATATTATAATTGTATGCCAACTGTTATTATTGAAGCAGAGAATGAAGTGTGACAATGAATAGCTTAAGCATTTGCCTGGAACAATGAAAGGTTTCTAATACTAGCAATGAGAAATGCAAGATTAAGAAGAAGCCCTTTGATAATATTATATTGTTTATAAACTTATTTATTTTCATATCCAAATAGTGCAGTGACTCGAAACAGCTTGTGAAGTACTTTGTAATGGTTTTTGTAATTGCTGAGAGAGTTTCCCTTTCCCTATCGTACCATAATTACAACACAGTTTCCACACTTGTTGACACGCTTTGTTTGCGGTGCTCATTGTTTATTTCGAATGATAATACAATTATTAAGTATAGCAGCTACTAATGTGAGGGGCTTTCCCTTTCCGGCGGCTGGTAAACAAAGTGAGTTCTGGGAAGCCGAGGAAAGTCAACAAGCGTCCGGCACAAATATTTACATAAATCGGTGCGAAATTTTGTGGAGATTTCCCAGCCATAGCTAAACCCGATTTGTTTGTCGTATAATCACAATGTTTAATGTGCTTGGCGATTAGCCGAGAGTTCAATGCAAGGCCATGGCTATATATTACGGGGCTTTAGTCGGCCAGGTGCAGTTTGCTTTCATCTACACCAGCAGAAGGTTCCGAAGGTTTTCCATTATGAAGCTAATGATCCTCGTGTTTGTGTTTGCCGCCTTTGTGGCCAGTGCCTTGGCCCTGAAAAACGGTTTGTGATAATCACCCTTGAATGTTCTCAGTGTACGAATTTCGAACCCTTAGAAATCTGCGGTCTGCCACATTCCCGCAACGGAAATGGCAAAATCTCCTGCGAGGCCTACATCCCCAGTTGGTCCTACGATGCCGGCAACAACCAGTGCGTCAAGTTCATCTACGGAGGCTGCGGGGGCAACGACAACCGATTTAATTCCAAGGAAAATTGCGAAGAAAAGTGCTTGCAATAAAGTTGATTAAAAAGAAATTTGCAAAAAAAAAACGCGTTGTAAATTTATTTAGAAAAATATTAATTCAGTTTTGGGTTTAGATTATTTTTTACTGGGAAAAGGTTATTATTAAGCTACGATCCATGTGATTAGACAAAGCTGTCCGCCCACTTTCCTTTATAAACTCTATAAAGACTGTCGATTTTCACTAGTTGGTCTAAGAAGTCGAAGCTAACATGAACTCTACTGCTATTTTTTTCTTCCTTTTTGCCCTGCTAAGGGTTGGCTGGAGTCTCAAGGATCGTGAGTGAAGAAATTACATGGAAAGTTAAATTATCCCAAATAATTTTTCGGTATTTTGTTAGCCATTTGTGGACAAGAGCCTGCATTTAATGGCCATTATTTTTTTTGCACTGGCCGACTGCCCATGTATACTTACTTTCCCAACTGGAATGCGTGCCAAACCTTCGACTACAAGGGCTGCTCTGGAAATGACAACCGATTTGATACCCTGGACGACTGCGAAAGAAGGTGCAAGTCAATTACTTAATAATTATTATTAAATAAATATATAAAATTGGCAAAGACAAGCGATTTAATTCCAAGGAAAATTGCGAAGCCAGGTGCTGGCCATAAAGTTTTGTAAAACAAAAACTGTTAATCTCTTATTTAGAGAAATTCTCTTCTTTCTCTCCGAGGCTTTAATCCAGAGCACTGCTAGATAAGACCGAGCTGTTCTCTCCCTGTCTTTAATTAATCTCTGATTTATAAATGGGCATAGTCGCTTAACGAAATCGGAGCCAAGATGAAGTACCTTGCTATTGTTTGCTTACTGCTGGCCCTGCTAAACCACTGCAGGAGTTACAGCAGCTTCAGGGATCGTAAGTGGAGAAATCTCATGGAAATCAAAGTGATTATAATATCAAAACCTACTTTTTATTAGGTGCCTGTAAAGAAAAGCCAGCATTTAATGGCGATTTTTTAACGTGCGCTGGCAGCTTCACCAAGTTCAGTTACCATCCTGATCTTAATATGTGCATTAAATTCGACTACGGAGGCTGCTTCGGAAATGACAACCGATTTGATACCAAGGAGGAGTGCGAACAAAAGTGCAAGAAAAATAGCTATTATCCGACATATGGGCATAGGCAGTATTATAAAAGTTAATGTTTTAGATACATTTCCTGGACTTAAATTGTTAATAATGCACCAGACCAAAAACTTGTAAGACCATTTACATATTCACATAAATTGTCGCCCAGAGATTTGCTTTTGTTAGTTTGACGAATAATAAACATTTTTAATGTTCCCAAGCGATAAGCTTCAAGTTCACTGTAATGAAAGGGTATAAAGTACACGACAACCGCCGAATAAACTTGAGTTTGTTTTCCTCTGCCCCAGCTGAAAGTTCTAAATATTTTCACTATGAAGCTGCTGATCCTCGTTTTTGTGTTCGTCGCCTCTGTGGCCTGTGTTATGGCTCTGAGAAATGGTAAATGACCTTAATTTCTGTCTTCTTTCTCAAGTTGAATATTATTAAATCTTCTCAGAAATCTGTGGTCTACCTCATTCACTTGATGGAGACTTAGAATGTAGAATCTCCTGCGAGGCTTACTTCCCCAGCTGGTCCTACGATTCCGCCCATAATGAGTGCGTGAAATTCATCTACGGTGGCTGTGGTGGCAATGCCAACAGATTCCCCTCAAAGGAACTTTGTGAAAAGAAGTGCTTGGAATAAAATGGAAATCGAGCATCTCCACATTTTGTTTTGTTTTGGTTTTTTCTCACTCAAAGAGATGACGCAATCTAAGCTTGATAGTGACAGAGCCATTAATCTAGTCTGGAATATATTTTTTATATTTTTTACCAACTGTACCCATTGACCAGTTCCCTGCTATCTGCAGACCTTCTATATAATTAGACGGGGCTGCTTTGACCTGCTAGATAAGAGGAAGCCATTCCTATTCCGATTTCTATATGTGCAACTCTATAAAACGCTGATGTGGCCAAGTCTGGGCAACCAGAGACCAACTGAAGTTCCAATTGAAATGAAGTATCTTTGTCTGTTTGCCATTCTGCTCTTCCTGAGCCTGTCCAGCAGGCGTTTTTGGGTCCAGGCCAAGCCGGGTAAAAAGAGAACGTCACTAATACCATGATCAAAGATCTCATTGCGATTCCCTTTACTCCAGAGATGTGCCAGCAGCCGCCTTCGATGGTAGGCATGGCCCAGGATGGAGCTGCCTGCATGGCTTTCATGCCCGCCTGGACATACGACGCCTCCAAAAATGCCTGCTCGGAGTTCGTCTTCGGTGGCTGCGGTGGAAACTCCAACCAGTTCTCCTCCCAAAGTGAATGCGAGAAGGCCTGCAAGGACTAAGGGGATCTCGGGCAAACCCATGCCCTGAAACACTACAGTTTTGTAAGCTGAAAACCAAAACAAATAGCCGGCAATCTTGTTTTGAAAACAGGCAAACAAAATGCAAAATAAACTCAACTACAATATCAAGGTTTGTTGTTATTGTCAGTGCTAAAAAACTCAAACAGAAACCGCGCTTGACCTCGCCATTGATAAGCGATCCGGTTTGGGCCTATATAATACAGCCAGCATCTCAAATCGCTGGACAGTTTAGTTTCGCAATTTGGCGATTGAGATCTCAGTAACCGAGTAAAAACTAAAGCTAAATCAATATGAAATACTTTGCCATTTTCGCCCTGCTCTGCTGTCTTCTGGGAACTGCTTTGGCAGCGCTTAAGAATCGTAAGTAATCTGTGAGGAAATGGGGAATGGAAATATCAAAACTTTGCCTGATCTCAAATTAAGTTCAGTTTGGTATGATGACTTTCTTCTTATCTTTTTAAAATCAGCAAATAATGTAATGATTTTAGATAAAATAGAAGGTTAATAGACCACCAATTTCCTTAATAAAACTTCAATTTAATACCAAAATTTCCATTTGGAACTTTCAGCAATCTGCGGTGAGGAGTTCGGGAAAATAGGCAACTGCCGTTCGCAGCAGAATATGTGGACCTACCGCCGAGACACGAACGAGTGCATCAAGTTCCTCTATTCTGGCTGCCATGGGAACAACAACCTGTTCGAAAACAGGGTCAAGTGCGAGCAGACCTGCAAGAACTGAGACTGCATTGGCCATGAATAAAGTTAGAGCTGCGGTTTTGTTATCCTAATGTGATCAGCTTTATTGTTTTCTTTATTAACTTGTTTAATAATAATTCATATTGGCTTGGCGCTTACTGTAGTTAGTGGCCGATTCAGTGTGATTAGGCTAGGCTATATATGTCCGATTTGTTAGCTATCTCTATATATATATATATGGGTTGTTATAACTATGAATATATATTTTTTATTTGTATATACTGTTCATATGCATTCGCGTGTTAGTTGATATTGTTAATCATGGAAATTGTCTTCGGCCATTGCTGATTATGTTGGGTTCAATCAGAGGTTATCTCTCCACTTCTTATCTGCCAAAACCAAAACCAAAACCAACAACAGCTAACTATCTTTCTAACATACCTATAATATTATTAAAGTGCAGATGTGTTTCTTTTTTTATACTTTTTCTTGTTTTCTGTGTTATCTTTGCTTGGTTAAATAAAAGTTACTCTAGAACTTAGCCTACTTTTTAACCTTCAAACGTGTTCGTGGTTTATTGTTACAAACAGGCTGGTTTGGGTGTTTCATTTCCTAGCTTTTGGGAAGTTCTAAAGTCATGTTATGGGTCTCAGCTTTCTTCTAAGTTTTTACAAATTTATAAATCTGAGAAATGAAATCCCCATCCAGACCCTCTTTCCGAATCTTCATTGCACAATCTGAGCTGCCTTTCCTACTACGCCTATTCCATTTTGGTTAGCACAGCGCTGCCATTGAAAGAACTCGATCCCGGAACTGCTCCGGAGCCTGGAGAGCCGTCGGCAGCTGTCACGCCCCCTGATGCCTGCTGAGTGGGCGTAGTCGGTGGCGATAGTGTTGCATGTTGCTGCTGATATGCCACTGCCGATTCGGCCAGATCCAAAAGAGCCGCCGACGAGCTGCCTCCCGCCATCGAAACTCCTCCCCCAGATCCAGATCCAGATCCTGAGCCTGAGCCTGATCCTGGACCCAAGCCATTCATGGTCATATCCTGAGCCTCGTGCTTCATCCTCATCGTGTTGTTATTGTTGTGATTGACCACATGCTGCCCCAAGGCCGGATGATGGGCAAAGGAGAGGGGTGGCAGGTGGAGCCCCGGAAAAGCCAGGCCAGCAGCAGCTGCCGCATGCAGCGACTGTAGAAGTGCCGCCGAATGCTCCTGCGCCTTCCTCCTAAGCTCGGCCACCGAATTGGACCTCGGATCGTGGCCGGATCCCTGGCCGGAAGACTTGGACGACTCCGGCGAACTGGCCGCCGAGCTGCTGCTGACCGGAATGCTCAGCGGAGCCACCACCGATGAGCCGGGCGGCGGCGGTGGTTTCAGGGAGCAGCAGGAGCACAGGCTCTGGAAGGGCGAAACACCTGAAAAGGGACAAGTTTATCGTTTAAAAATTGATTAACTGATTTTATAGAAATTTCATAAAACATAAATAACTTTACTAAGTGCCTGAAAGGAAAGTAATTTACAAAAACAAATCAAATTAAATTAAATTACAAATGAAAAGTTTATCAGACATGTCTGTGCCATTAATTGATTTTTAATTCATAAAATTCAATTTATGTTTGATCAAAAGTATTTATTCCCTTTACCCTGTATACCGTATTTATGATTACATTAAGATTTTCCCCCGACAAAGATAAGAAAATTGATTTCGATTTATCTGCAAGAGGAAGCACCTGCTCCCTCTCCCACTCCAGCTAATTCGATTAGACGGAAGTGATTTGGATTGATTTGGTGACTGATCGATTGACTCACCTTTCAGGCCGGGGAAGAGTGGCTGATGGGTGAACTGGGCGGCCAGGTGGGGCGGGAGGAACAGCGGTGGGTGGTTGGCGCTCCGCTGGGCCGCCGCTGCCGCCGCCGCTGCTGCCACGGCGCTCTGCTCACTCAGAACTGGGCGGAAGCCGCAGTTGCTGCAAAGATTAAGATTAAACTCATGTTAATAATGTCTTAAGAAATTAAAAAATATATATAAAGACAATATAAATGTTTTTCGAGTGTACAATAAACTCAAACAGAAGTCGAACTTGACCCTCGGCGATCCGGTTTGGACCTATATAATCAGCCAGCGTCTTCGATTTTGACACAGTTTAGCATCGTCAGTCGAGCTCGAGACTTCAGTCATATCAAGACAAAACTCAAAATGAAATACTTTGCTGTTGTTGTGCTGCTCTGCTGCCTCTTGGGAGCTGCCTTGGCCCAACTGAAGAACCGTAAGTATTTTTTAAATTGGTCTAAATAGGTTTTACAGACATTCTGTGCTGATTTGGTTAGGAGTTTTAACAAGAACTTATACTTAATCACCTTTCAGCTGTCTGTGGCGAGGAGCAAAGTAGAAAAGGACATTGCCGTGGTCTTATACCAAAGTGGACCTACAGCCAGGAGAAGAACGAGTGCATCGTATTCAACTTCTCTGGCTGCAAAGGAAATAACAACAACTTTAATAGCAAGGAGGAATGCGAACAGACTTGCAAGAATTAGAAACATTCCCCAGATCCTTTATATATATTAACTGTTCTTGTAATTGGTTAAGTTGTTGAGTTGTTATCCAATAAATATGTAACACAAACTCCCCAGTCTACCCTCGCATCTGTGCCACTGCACCCACTTCCACACTCAACTGCTTTGCATTTCGCCTGCACGCGCAGCCCATTCAGAGGCAAAAAAAAAAAAAATTAAACACCACAACACACAGGGCAAACGAAAACAACAAACAGAGTTTTAATTAACGCTTAATTGAAATAAATTAAAACATTTTTATGCGTAATTGCATTATTATTAATAAACCTAAATATTTTGTATCAGCCAGAGGGGTAGAGGGGGAGTATCAACACCCAGTTGTCATTTTTGTGAGCGTTTTAATTGAATGAAATATTACGCTTAGCCGCATGTCAAGGCAACGAGTATATGTACAGCCCAACAGCCCAACTGAACAATAAAAAACATTTAATGCAATTTGAAAATTTTAATTGATAAGCGAGACAACGTTCCGTGGAACTGCTAGTTTCCTATGGCTCTCATAATCCCCATTAATAAAATTATAGATCATAATACGCATACTTTTTTATTAGAAATAATTGCGTTTAATCAGCGAGCGCGAAACTTGAGCCGGAGCTGGCTTTCGATGGCCATGGGATAAGTGGGAAAAACTCAATTTCCATTTGTTCAAATTTACATTAGGCCTTGGGCCGCCCAGGGAAAAGTGTGTAAAATTTAATAACTCCGGCTAAGGGCGGGGCACCCCTGTGGCCTTAACAAATCTCTGGATATGCTAATCGAGTTGGGGGGCTTAGGTGGGCTTGCGAGCGCGGAAAATGACAGGCAGACCTCGCGAATGACGACCACAGCCACCGGGAAAAAGGGACCACAAACGTCGCGGCCACTGTCGCTTTTAATTCTCTTCGCTTTTCGGTTTTCACTTTTTATTTGCCCTCTTTTTTGATTTCCCCTCCATTTTCCTAAGCTCGTCATGTTTTTGGCTCTCCCTCATCCACCCGCAATTTGCTGTGATTTTTCCGAGGTTTTCCCGCTTTCCCTGGTCCTGGTTGTTTTTTTTTCGGTAGTTGAAGAATGCAAAACGCTGGCCGCTTGAAACGGAATTTTCGATAAGGTAATTGTGTTATTTTTTTGTCGTTCTAAAACGTCGTTTTTTCGGTGCTTTCGGTCAAGTCTTGATAAGAGATAAGCGTTGTAGTAGCGAGGTTAGAAAATCTATGAAGATGGGAAAGCACCGTTTATAAGGTAAGTTCTATATTTTCCTGGTGACGAAAAAGTTTTTTATTTTTAGCAAATTAAATTAGAAGAAAACTACAATTTCCTAGGTGGTTGAAAATCTCCGAAATTCCAGTTAGCTTTGAAAAGCCAACTGTTTTCCTCCCACACACATAAATATATATATAACCACCCCCATTTCCCCAATTTTCACCACTTACCCCGTGGCCCCTAATTAAGCTTCGAGCCAAAAAGCAAAAGTCCAAGCGGCAAAAACGAGATGAGAAAGCTCAAACAGCAGCCATTGCAAAAACAACGAAGGCAAACACTCGGGCGTAGACAGCCCCCCTTTCAACCCTCTTAACCCCTCCCCTAGCCTAACCATCTAGTTGCGAAAAAAGCAGTAAACTTAAACGTTTGCGTATAATTAAGCACTCATCCTTTGGTCGTAATTAAATTTTGCATGTGCACATCCAACAGATGCCTCGGACCCGAGTCTGGAGCTTGGGGCTCGTTCTAGAATATCTCTCTCATGTTCCGCCCCAAGTTCCCGCCCTTTTCACCCTGGCTTGCCCCATCTCCGTTGCCCCGATAAGCCTCTCTCTCTTTCGCTCGTGTTTTGGGGACTGGCAAAAATATGCTAATTGCTATAGGCGACTTTGCAGCACTGAGAGAAATATTTGCCTTAATATATAAATTTTTACTTTCTTTTGCAGTTTTTCTAGCTAAGGCTACGAATTTTCCTGATGTCGTTTTCAATAGTTTTCACAATCACAACCTGAGAACTTTGGACAAATTTTTATAGCAGTGCTTGGGGTTGGGAAGAGGAGGCGTTGCCATGTCCCACGCCCACTCGACTGCCGCTGCCTTAATTGCTATACTCATAGACCCAACCGCCCCTCCCGCCCGACTGTTCCCTCTCCCTCTAATTAAGACATTCACAAGCTCGAGTGTTGTCGTTGAGCTCGTTAGTTAGTACATAACTTTTCCTCCAGGCAGCGAAGAGATGTGCCTGGGATGGGGAGATGTGAGGAAAACGAGAGAGGGGAGTGGGGTTGAGGGGCTCTGTCAATGTCAATCTTGGGAGCTCCATCTCAGTTTCCACCTTGAGTTGCCGCAAAAGTTTTTCTTAAAATTTTCGCACTTTTCGCAGATTGCATTTAGCCAAGGATAAAGTTTCCGCGACTTGACATGCACATGGAAAATTCACCCCGTTTTCCAGCTCTGTGTGTGTGTGTGTGTGTAATTAGTCGGGCAAACATTTTAATGCTTTACGCAATTCTAACAAATTAAACTCAAGCAATCAACACCTACACAGGCTTAGCTCGCTCTCTTCTCATCCGCCCGACAAGTCAAACTTAATTTCCGCAAAATGTACTTTTTTCCAGGAAACTTTTTGGGTTTTCCCGCCCGCCGATGGCTCCACAAAATGCTTATTATATTAGGCTGCCCCAAAAAGTTTGCCAGCACGGAGGCAGCTTATTTTAATTGCATGATGAATATTAAAATATTTGCTTAATTTATTATTCAAGCACTCGCATTCGTGCGCGCACCATAAGCGGTCTGATATCCCCGCCCACACACCTGAATCACAGGTGGGGCGGACTGGTATGTACATATGTACATACTTTAAGTACGGGCCCTGTATGCGGATTTTCGGGGTAGATTCCCACGGCCGAAATACATATTTAGCTATTTGTGCATAAAGTATCTGTGGCGGGCTGGGGCTTTGGGGCCGCTGGTGGGTATTCAATTAACATTTTTAGCTCAAAACTTATTCCAGCGGATGCTGGTTCGAGGACTATCGTTTGGGGAAAATGATACTTGATGGATCTCCTGCATATTTCATAACCTTATCATACAATAGTGCTGGAACTCCGATCAAATGTTAAACTTAACTTCATTTTTCTCCAAGCTGCACCTCATAAACTTCCTTGAGTTCGTATTGTTTTTCGCTTTCTCATTTCTGCATTTTAAGTATCGACACTCAATAAAAACTGCATTCAAGTGTTTTTGGGGCGTTGCATAATTTGTGTAATTTCGCATTACTTCAGAGTTCCCATGGAGTGGCCCTGAATAAACCAGTTCTTGCCAAATATAGATGGAGCCCCTGGAGTACCCTCTTACGTCACCGGCAGCCTTGGCGAACCGAGACAAGTGCGGATTAGTGTTGAGTAATTATTTATTTAGTTTCTGGCATTGTTCGATTTGCATAAACTAAGCCAGCTAAGCTGAAAGAAACGCCGATGAGTGCCTGGCGATGAATCGCTTCGCTTCAGATCGAGATATTCCACGGCCTTTTGGCGTGTGCTGATGGATGGCAAGGACATCCGGTCCTGGGGCATTTGAATAACAATATCAGAGGCGAGCTATCACAGATTCAGAGTGCTCGAGATGGAGAATTGATTTGGTCAACCGTTACGGCAGCAAAAGCAGCGGGGATTCGAGGAAGGGGAAGTCGGGTGAAATGATTCAGCAATCGGAACGCGTGCTCCTTCTCAGTGGGATGTCCTTGGTCCTCGGGACTTGCATTGTGGCCCGGCCGGATCCTGTTCTTTTTTTTGTTGTGGTGTAATGATTGTTATTCCAGCGCGTTGACATGTGAGCCAATCTTTTTTACTCCTCCCCCCTTTCTTTCTGCCCACCCATGGCCTCTTCGCCGTCTGATGAGACCGCCCACCGAATATAGGAAAACAATTCACGGGGAAGGCATTGGCAAAAAACGAACCGCCTTTTGTGCGCCTTCAGGCTGCTGGCATATGGTTAGACTCTCCGCAGGAAAACTCAAACGACAAACAAAACACCCTCGTTTACGCCCAATTTAATTTCCAGCAGTTCAAGTAGCTTTTTATGGCCTTGTGGCCAGGCATTTCTGAATTTCCGATTTCGGTAGCTAAAATCAAATGGAAGGGCGGACTATAATCTTAGTCAGTCTGGAGGGACAAGGTCAAAACAGACAATACTATTATACACATGCCAACATGCCAAAAACTATAAAAATGGAAAACAAAATTGATAGTTTAGAATTGATAAGCGTTCCCAGAGCCCTATAAAAGCTGACAAGGAGCCTCTGTAGCTCAGTTGCCTTCTTCAGGTGAAGAATTTCAAAATGTATAAGCTCGTAGTCGCTTTATTTTTCGTGATAATTGCTGGAGATCGCTGTAAATCTTTGGCAGATTCTTTGACAAATACGAATTTGGAGACCCAGTGCAACGTACATTGCAAGGAACTCATAGCTAACGAGACTCGAGCGGATCCGAACCACATACAACGCGAGTTGAAGGCGAAGTTGAGAAGGATAGAGAGACAGCTAATTGCTGTTCAGGAGACTTTAAAAAATGTAACATCCCAGGACTTTGTGGAGAAGGAGGGCAGTTTTAAAGCCCTCCAATATATGATTAAAGATACGGAAAACCAGTTCAATTACAGATTTACAGCCATAGACGGGATGTTAACTAAATTGGATAGAAAAATCATCCCACGGGGGTTTGAAAAGATCGGCTCCAGGTATTTTTACATAGAAAAGAAAGAGAAAGTGACTTGGCGTAGTGCCGAATCGATCTGTATTGAGCTGGGAGGATACCTAGCAGCCATCAAGGACCAAGAAGAGTTGAACTTACTAGGAAACCATCTTGATAATGCCTATTTGTACTGGCTGGGTATTTATGAGGTGGCGATGAGGGGCGACTTCGGTTCTGTGACCGATAAGGCTAAGCCATTTATACTGTGGGAAACGCTAGAACCCAAGTACATAGACTCCTCGCTTCACTGTGTTATTGTGCGAAACGGCGTTATGTACGTGGACACGTGTGAGAGTCGGCATTATTTCTTTTGCCAGGCAGATGACAGTGTTTAGTATTCATTAAGAAAAAAATAAATAAATAAAATATAAAGTTCAAGTGTTTTCTCGAGCCAGCCTCCCAATATAGTTAAATAAAAATAACTCAAGTCAAATCAAGATGGCTTTGCTGATTAATAGGAGCTGGCTGCCACTACTGACGAGAGCTGGCATT